AATCATGGATTCATTTCAAGAATGGCATCATTATCTAGAAAGTGCTTCAAGTCCAGTTACCATGTATACAAATCATAAGAACTTCAAGTACTTTATGTCAGCACATATTTTGAATTGTCAAGCCCGTTGGACCATGTCTTGATTCAAATTCAATTTTAATATTATTTATCGAGCCAAAAAATAATAAAGTCTATCAAACACCTTTTCTAGACATTCTTATCTTACACCAAAAGAAGAAGATGCATCTTTTGATCAACAAAGAATGAATCTCTTGAAGCCCAAGTATTTTCATCTTGAGCAATAAAATCAACATTGACTGTTGATTCAACCTTTATCAAGCAAATCCAATTAAGTATGCCTTTTGATCCTCTTATTTGTGATATCAATAATCTTTCTTCTAAGTCTCATGATATTTCAAAGTTTGAGTTCAAGAACAACCTTCTCTATTTTGAAGAATGCCTATATGTTCTTGAAGGAGAAGCACATTTATGTGTTCTTCATGCACATCATGATTTTTTAATAGTAGGACATTTTGGATACAACAAGACTTTAGAACTTTTATTTAAAGATTTTTAGTGGCCGCAAATGTGAAAGGTGATAAAAGACTTTGTACAATTATGTAATACTTGTTCAAGATCCAAAACTCTTCGCTATAGACCTTATGGATTGTTTCAATCATTACTTATTGTAAAACAACCATGGTCTTCTATTTTTATGGATTTTATTACAGATCTTCCAATCTCAGGTTCACGTGATCCTATATTTATAATTATAGATTGCTTCACCAAAATAGCACATTTTGTACCATGTACAAAATCTATTTCACATGAATAAATAACTAAGATTTTTATTGAAAATATCTATCACTATCATGGATTGCCAAAGGATATTATATTCAATAGGAGGACTCAATTTGTAAGATTTTAGAAAACCTTATTCAAGATTCTAAAAGTGAATATAAAGCTTTCTTTGGCTTTTCATCCTCAAATTGATAGGCAAATAAAATAGGTGAATTAAATTTTGGAACAGTATTTGGAATGTACTATCAACTGTCATTAAGATGATTGGACAACTCTTTTACTATTGATAGAATTTGCATAAAATAATTCAGTATATTTTTCTACTCAACAAACACCTTTCTTTATTAATTATGGTTATCATCCATGACTTGATACTTTTGACTTTTCAAAAGTTGATAATCTTTCGACGAAAGTTTTAGCAAATCATTTGTCAGAGCTACATGCAATAATAAAGATACAATTAAAAGAAGTTCAAGGATGGAAAAATATCAATGCGAATGTCTATCACAAGGAGCAACTACAATTCAATATAGGTGATAAGATATGGTTACTTCATTGCAATATTAAGACTACTCATCTTTGTGATAAGTTGGACTATTGTATGTTGGGACCTTTTTTTATTTGTGAATAAATCAATTCTATTGCTTATCGATTACATCTATTACAGTCTATGAAGAGCCGCCTTGTATTCCACATATCTCTTTTTGAGCCATATAAGATAATAAATATTTTGAAAAGAAGATAAATGCCACCTCTTCTTATAGAAGTAGATAATAATCAAGAATTTAAAGTGGAAGAAGTCTTAGACTTAAGGTAGTACCAAAATAGGTTGGAATATCTTATTCATTGGTGTAGATATGATATTAGTGAATGCACATGGGAGCCATCAAAGAATCTTACAAATGCAGCAAAGAAAGTTGAAGCTTTTCATCAATAAAATCCATCAAAACTAAGATGAAGAATAGCAAATCTTTGTTATAAAAAAAACAAGATCAAAGAAAGATAACATTCTACCTTCTAACTTTTTTTGTAGCTTGTGTGCATTTGTGATACTAAAAAGATGGAGAATCAACAATCAGTAGATTCAACTCAAGAGCTTTCATTTGCAGATTTACTAGATGAGACATTACAATTTTTACAACCTTCAAGACAATGGAATCGAGATAAAGATCTTCAAGAACGACTTCACTTTCCTCGAATAGATGGCAAAATACAACGTGTTTGGTATCACGACTTTAGAAGAGACTCCCACTGTTTGGAGATTTTATTAGAGGTAGGAAAAACTCCTGATGGTGTTCCAAATATTTTATTTGAAAGAAGTTATGAAAGCTTCAACAACCACCAAATAATAAGGTGGTCTTCTTACTCTGGTATGGAACACTATTGATGGGTGAGAGGGCCTATCAACCATCTTCAAAGAGAGCAAAGATCGGAGTATGTGATAAATATAATTTGCCACATCTTGGACTTCCTCAACATATGAAAACTACTTCTCATCGAACTCGTCTCTAGAAGAGAAGGTAATATCATGGATATATACATTTACTTCAATAATTACTTATATGATTAGGTAAAAGTATGTAAATATAGAATAATTTTATAAAGTCTTTAGTTGAGCTTCTTAGAAGCTTCATAGATACGATTTTGACTTTAGATGTGTTTGTAGGTCAGAAACTTCGTCAACAAGTTAATCACATGTTAGTAGCTTATGGAACAAGTTAACTCCACAAAATAGCTTGTTCCGCAATGTAACCATTTGGCGCATACATAAATAACTTACCTTGTAAGTTTAGACAAGTGGCTAGCAAAGTCAACATGTTTTGGAGATCCTATAGGACATTGCCACGTAGCTCCTAGTTAAGAGTATATATAGATGCAAGAGTAAAGCCTTTTTTCAGTCTTGTCAATGCCATTCTAGTCCTTAGTCTTATTTCAAGACTTTCTAGTCTTCTTGTTTTTGGCAATAGCCATTCTAATTAATATTACATTATCTTTTAAGTGACTTTTTAATTCTCTTCTATGATACAAGAGTGTATTGAGGATTCTCTTTCTTTGAGATTTATATGCCTAATAGTTGGTGTAAAAAGCTACCTTTGCCTTATCTTGAAAATAGAGCTGAATCATCACTTTAAAGTTTTTTTTCTTTCCTCTTGTTACTTCATGTGCAAGTCTTGATGTGACATAATTTATGGTAAGCTCTTTCATGCTGATAGACTCGAATGCCATAATGAGGTAGTTGTATGACTACGGAAGGCTCATGAGCAATGTCAACACAATTTTTCTATCATCAACTGGAATGTCAACAACTACTAGTTGTTTTGTAAGTGCTTTTACCTTATTGACATTAGCCATGAAATCATCTCTTTCTTCTATCTTTATCATTAAGAACTTTTTCCTTTTTTATAGAATATTGACAAGGTTTCTACTCTCATAGACGTTTTAAAGACTGTTTCATTCTTTCGCTAATCTATTGCAAGCAATTATATGTAAAAAGTTGGCATCATCATGTTTTATTGCAATCATGCCAAAAGCCTTCCTTTCAAGCTATTTATTCTCTTTCTTCACCTTGACATCAACATCATCACTAAGAGGCTCTTTACTTTCATCAACAATGTTCGAAAGATTCAATGAAGCCAACAAAAGCTCCATTTTTTCTTCCAATGGTAAAAGTTGTCACCTCTAAACTTCTCAATGACTCTCAAACCCTCACCCTCACTTGAAGCCATGTCTAAAGAAGGGATGTATAAAAAAAAATCAAGAAAATAGAAGATAAAACTCTTAAAATCAAGAAAAAAGTGTTGTTATCTTAGAATCCCAAAATGCCCTCTTTGTGAATAAACTAGTGATTTCACTCTTGAATCACTCTCAACTTCATTTATAAAACTTCTCACAAGTCTTATATACTATCTTAACCTCTCTTGTAAGCTTAGCCACTCTTTTATCACTTCTAATCTCTCATAAGATCTCTATTTACTATAAGAAGATCTATTAAGAACTTAAGCACATGAAAGTTCAATGTTATTGTACCAATGATATAGGTCAGGAAAGAAACACACCATTAGTGCTCTAGAATAACATTCATAAGTATGTAACAATCTCCAAGACCATGAATGCACTTAACAACAAGTAAGAGTAAAAACTACATCAACAAGTAGATGCAAAAGGAGACTTAAAAGATACTAAAACCAAACATCGACAACAACCATAAGATCTACTCTTCATAACAACAAAGACTTCAAAGAACTTCAAAACTCACAACTAAAGGTGAGTGGACCCATAATCTATTAAAGAAATAGAACTTTGAAGTCACAATACATGGCATCAACAAGATTGCATACAAAGAGAGTATGGAATAAGATGTCTCTCACTTCCAACACCCAATACTTATAGGTTGTGGTTGCTGCCCTAGAAAACAACTTCCACTCTTTGACTTGTATATACATGATCTTAGGTCCTAAAATCCTTTGGTATCTAACATACTTCAAAGATATTCTATGGTCCTTGGATTCTTTGGCATATTATTAACCACAAGGGTATCTTATGCCAAATACTAATTACTCTTACCTAGTCTTTTAATATTTTCTAGTTCATACTTTGTCTTCTTGACTATGACTCTTAGTCAACCTCGTCCTTTATCTATAGGATGTCCTTTCCAAACACCAAGAATCAATCCTTTGACCATTAGCAACTTATTTAAGATAATACATTTTTACTATGTAATTTATTCTACTTTTATTTACTTACTTCAACACACATCTCTATTTAAACAAACTTATATTCATTCGTTCGTTCATTCATCCCCTCGCTCCGATTTTAGGATTTGATTTCGGGAGGAGTGAAAGGTGAAGGGCAGAGTAGTCTTCGGTCACCCACACCATCGCATGTCTCACGCCGGGAAAGCGGGGATCGATGATCTCGACTCCGGCACGACACAATTTGCACATGCATGTCCGTTTTAGTGAATGGTTAAATCTAATCCCCCCCCGTTTGAGATGAAATTCTTAGCCGATGTGGATGCTTGATTTGTCGCAGTGGTGGCCGAATCGAGCACCAACAAGCTTCCTCACATTGTCCTTCTTAAGAAAAAATGTCAGTGCGGCCGATCCGCGCGGTAAATTCTGCGCCAGGATAGAGTTACAACATCAATGGTGGCTTGGGATTGGCTGGAAACTGTTGCGAATGATTCTTCTGTCCTCATCCCTGGGCCTCGATTTGCTTTGAGCGTTGCTTGCGTTGGACTTGTCCCACACGTGATGCCTATGGGATTCTTCTTCTGAGAATTAGAGTGCGTGCACCTCTTTTCATGTTGAAGACCCTGGTGCTGAGGCGTGGAATTCCGAATTGTGGAGATCGTTTGCCTTGTAGGTTTCGAAACAGATGCTCACAACTACTGTATCTTTTCGAGTTTGGTGCTTACGCGATGAGTTTGCCATTGATGTGCTGGTAGCTGTGTTGTCTTGATCTTGAATTAAGTTGTTGTCGTGAGTGGTCAGAATTTGGATTGCGTGTCCTGGGATCCTGCCTTGGCTTGAGACTGGGTTTGTGGGATTAGTGCTTCAAATTCTTCTTGGAATTGGTGTGTTGTGGCAATTCATAAACACAGTTTCGGGTGGTGTTCACAGGAAATTGTGGCGTCGGCGAGTAGTTTGGTTTGGGTTTCAGGACTCTCAGCCATGGCCTGTTGCGTGCTCCATCCCCGGGCGCCGAAGCATTGGGTCACTCCTATGTGCTCCCTCGACCCTGTCAAAGGCAACCAAACTACAAGGGGGAAGTTTATGTTTATTGGTCGACCTCTTTGTATGGCCTCTACCCGGCCAGCTCGGACCGCTAGCTTTCGAGCTTCCATTGTGTCTGCTGAGGAAGGAGATGCACCAGGGGCGGCTTCCACTTCTTCATCATCAATGGATCAAATATCTGACCCTCTACAGGTTCGTCGATTCTCACTCCATGCATTCTAATTTGGCATACTTGTTTTTGAAATGAAATTGAATGTTCGTCGTTCTTGGCATACATTTTCCAGGGTCAATAGAGATTCCATGGATATCGATGTCAATTTTCAATAAATGGCAGCAGTGCCTTGTGGAATGTTTTATTCTGATTGTGACAGAGTGTATCTTTCTTCTTTTTTTTTTTATAGATGATATCAAACCTATATTTGAACATATTAGGCTCCTGAGTATCCTAGGTTTCGACTGAGTTTCGTTGCAGTGTCTTCCAGGGGCACAGATGGGGCACTCGATTCAAGGTTCTGATGTAAAGCTTCTGTATGGAGAATACATGGATCACTTCTGGGCAAAACTTAGAGGAAATGTGCCAGGGCTGCGAATTATGGATTTGTTACCTGAGTATCAAGTTCAGGAGGCAAGCAAAGCAAGGGTACACAACTGGTTGTTGTGCGGAGACAGGGTGCGGAGGGTTCGATTTACTTACTTTGATGGGGGTGCCGCTGGGCAAGCATTCAACAGCCTCCTATACCCTGATCCTAGGTTTGTTGCTTACTATCTCTGTTCTTCAACTGTTATGTTCACATTTTTGGGACTCGGTTTGGGCTGAGGTTGATGTCTCCAACACAGCAAGAATTTCGTTCATGTAGTATATTATTTGGACTGCCACTTTTGGAAACTCCTCTGTACCAAGACAGAAAATGATTGTAATTTTAAGAGTGAATGTAACAATGTTTTGTCGTGTAGAATTGGGTAGAAAGTCTATCAATTAATATTTGGGAAGATGGGTTTCCGAAAAGCTTGCGTATCGCAAACCATTGTGAAATGTGTAACATGTGCCACAACTATAATGTTCCACTTCAGGTCCCAAAGTTTTAGGGCCTCTTTTCATTGTCCCTGAAGAATTATGTTCTATAAGTTTCTCAACCCTAACCTCAACATATTCTACGAAGAATAAGATGCTAATGAGTTGGGACTTGACCACAGGTACGATTTACCTCTGCTAGGGATTGATCTGCTATCGTTTGGTAGCAACAAAATTCTCTGTGTTGTTGATTTTCAACCTTTAGTTCAAGACCCGGAGTATCTAGAGCGTCACACCAGCGTACTTTCACCAATTTATGAAAAGATTCGCGACAAGTGTGGTCATATGTCGAGCAAGTTCTTCGATGAAACTCAATTCTTCTCAAAGTACTTGATCTTCTATCGATCTAGCCTTGGTGCCAAAGAGCCTACCTTGCAGGTACCCACTGGTAAGCTTTGGGAGGTTTATCTGGAGTACGTGGATGTCTATCTCAAGGCTCTAAGTGAAGCTCAAAGCAATGAGAATCCCGATGCCATTGCGTATGTCAAATCACGGCAGGACGCTTATGACCAGTATAATGCCGAGCGAGATCCTGCAATCAAGTTATTTAATACATACTTCGGTGTCGAGGTAATTAGTTCTCAAATCCATCATGCTGGCATGAATGGTGTGTTTGTGAAACTTTGGTAATGCTAGAATTTATCGGTGAGGTTTGTCTATGTTCTGTACCCAGCTGGTACATCATTTTACCCTTCTTGAGGGGAAAAGTCACTTCCTATGTCTTCTATGAGGAAGCCGATCAACTAGGGTGTGTGCACTATTTTCTGTTCGCTTTTTCACATCCTATGTAATTAGATGGACTGATCTTACATCCTCTTTGAAGTATGAATTTTTTTTGATTTCTTGGCCCTGTATTTCTGACTTGGTTGATGCAGTGGAGCGAGCGCTTCACGAAGGATTTCCTTTTTCCTGGAGCAACTCTATGACATGATTTGTCGATACATTCAACCTCAGGTAGCTAAACCTATCGATTCTTGCAGGGAGATCATTTCTCTAGTTGGGGATTGACATGCTTGACTGGATCCTAGGACCAAGTCGTTTCCTCTCTCTTGGGTTCGGTTATTTTCTTGGCGGCAACATGCAATTCCCTTCAGCATATATTAAACTAGGGTAGGCTTGTAAGTTGCGTTCTTGTAGTCACTGGTTTTGTTTTTGGACTATATGTAAGGAACCAAGTCAAGTATCTACGGATGGTTGCAGAAGCAACAGTCACCGCCCCGGCTGCTGGAGGCGATCGTCCACTGCATTGCGGTGGACGGTAACAAGGTCAGAGTTGCGGCTTAAAGTTCAAAAACATTCCCTGTCCCTTTCTTGTCCTCGAGTGAAAACTCTACCTGGAAACTGTAGAATTAAATTGCTATGCCCCGATCAATGGGCGTGTTTGTAATCTGGATGCTATTGTACACTACCCTGTACATAATTGGCAGCATTGCATGGTCAAGTATAAAGCTTTGTAGTCAAGAACATTATCACATTGATAAGAAAAGCCACATGGATTGAAGACATTGATTGGCGAGAGAATATGGGTAATTTGTTTGAGCCATCTGGATAGGATCAGAGTATTGCAGCAACCTCGTCAATGGCCATAGATGTTCTGCATTTGGGTCTCAAACATGTAGAATTTTGGATGAGAACTTGGAACCTAAACTGCCATCTTTCGGAACTTTGTTAGTGTAAGCCTTCATTTACCCCCAATCTGGCGGTGGCTAATACAGCACACCTCAGCAATTTTAATCATTCAATGCAATTCCAAGTGCTTAGGTAACTCAAGTGTATGCTGCATTCTCCACAATTTCATGCACTGTTACTTGTCTTTATGTTAGCCACATCTGAAGAAACTGGAATTCAATGCAGACAAAGATTCTATGTATGAGGCTCAGTGGAACTACATGCAGCATGGTGCTTTGTGTATCAAAAAGCATCTCTTGTAGGTACAGTGGTCTTAAATCTTGGAGGTGCCATGGTTGTGACAGACAGTCACTGAGGACTACACTTTTCTGTTTTCTGTTTGTACTGGCTGTGATGAGTTCAGAAATGAGACTTTTGTAGAAGCAGCAGACAACCCTTGCTGTTGATGTCATTTTTTCTCCTTGATACATTAGAGTGTCAGGAAGCTCTGAGCCCCTCCCTAGGTTTGCTTGTAAGCTCATCAGTTATTCCAAGTGTAGTTTTCAGCCCACTAACCACCACCTTGTACACATAACCCTGCAGCTGACCATCTATTTAGTGATGCGCCCTAACTGAAGTTCGACCTCCTCATATGCCAGATTGTCTGTACTATCTTTCAGTGTTGTCTGTTGTACTATCCCTCCCAGTACATGAAGTTCCCACCATGAAGATCTCTTAGCAGTGTGACACTCCAACTATTCCAGATATTTTATCATTGGAGCAGGTGCTCTATGATAGTATTCCACTCACTGACACCAACACCAACATGGACTGGTTGACAATGCAAACAGATGGTGCATCAAACCTCTGATTCCATCAATCCAAGCACACCCACTTCTCTCTCTCCTTCTTTCCTCTTGGCAAATTCTTCTTATCAGTGATCCTCCATAACACAATTTCCAAGGTCAATACCAATTGAGAGCTTTGGGTACCATAAAACCTCCTCCTCCTCCTCCCAGGTACTTAACCATGTCCATCTGTACACAGTGGTAGCCATTGTCTAGCACCCATGTACACACACTACATGAAAAGAGCGGCCATCTCATGGCTACTGATTCCTCTTTTGTACTTCACAGTGTGATGAATTAGTACCAACAAGGGGGCAAGCAAGGTAGCCAAAGGGTTTTTTGTTTTCAAGTGGGGGTTTTCAATCATTTAACAGCTGGGATAATGCCAAAGGGGGTTTGAAGGGTGGTGGGTAAGTTAGTTATTTGACTCTCCCACTGGCTAGTAAGATTTGGCCTAGTTTTCTTTTGAAGTGTACACACACACACATAGGTGTTGAAAAAGGAATGGGGGGTGGGGGGGTGGGAGATAAGATTAGTGCAGGGAATAAATAGTGTGAGAAGTCATTTTCGCCACATTTGAAAAAGGACTGGGCTCTGTTTCTATGGTAAATGTTGGTGCACCTTTCACATGTGAAATGGCCATTTCGCTTGCTCCAAGTCATCACCATGCAGCAGGACAGGCCCCTACTCTTGTTACACCTGGCCAATTGATGAATGGCATTGTGCAATAGAAGTTTATCAATAAGGTCCCCAAGGGGTGGGGAAAGGGCTCCTCCTCAGCTCTTGTGCCCAGATGAATGTAGTAGCCCACGGAATTCACAAAGTCCATAGAGCACTTGTCATAATAGTTTTTGTTACAGTTTTAATTTTTATTTATATATATATATATATATATATAAACATATCTGAGCCCAATCTCCATTCTCTGAACTCCAATTGAGTTTCAGAGCCTTGCAATTAAACATAGAGGCACATTTTGAGAACAGGATTCTACTTTTATTTCATTCAACCCTTGCTCCATTTTTCAAAAGAATAGATGGGTTCTTCACACACTTGTCTCACACACAGGAAGTTTCAATTCAAAACACTCAAACTCCCTCTTTCATTTCTCTCTTCCTTTCCTCGTTCCTTTTCCCAAATGTTCACATTGCAATACTTCCAGTCATCCCCTCCTCCCTCTTCTTCTCCTCTAACAAAACCCTAGGCTGAACCCTAAAACTAGACATGGGTATGAATGGAGGCAGAAGTGGGTTACGGGTTTTGCATGCAACATAAATGGGAGTCAAAGGGGAGGGTGAGAGAGAGAGAGAGAGAGAATGGGGGAGTGTGGGTGTTGGGAATGGGGGTAGGAGGAGGGGGAGTCATGCTCTTGGACCAGGGCTGATGAGGATGATAGGTGAAGGGTGTGAGGGTGGGCCAACAGCCCCAACAGAGGCACCATCATGTGGTGATGGGGACACAAGGTAGAGTGATTGGTGGGTCAGGCACTTCATCAAGGGAGAGAGGAAATGACTAGGGAAAGGAAATGCCTAAGCAAAGGAAGAGGAAGAGGGTGAGTGTGTGTGTGGGTTTAAGTTAGCCAAGTAGCTCTTGGGCCTCCTTTCAAGTTGTTCCCACAATAGAGACGTCTACAACCAAAGTGGAGCCAACTCTCATCCCTCCTATCTTTTCTCTCGTTTTCTACTTCCTCCTTCACTTCTTCACTTCTTCTTCCTCTTCTTCTTTGTTTCAATCTTGTCCATGTTGCACATACTTGTGACAGCAATGGCTCATTGGTAGCCCCCTGTGTGCATCACTTCTCCTTGTAAGTGTGCCCCTGGGATAATATATATATATATATATATATATATGTGGATAATAAAATGTTTATTTTTTAGTGTATCTTTTTGTGTTTTTGTTGTTTGATTTGCTGCATTTTTTTCTCCTCCCCAATGTTCTGGAGAGAGTTTTTTCTCAACAGGTGTGTATGAAAGAGATGGTGAAACAAACCTTGTTGCTAAAGAATCTAATTGTTGCTTGTGGGTGGCCCCCTTCTCTCTCTTTTTTTTTTTTTTTTTTTTTTTTTTTGCCCATTATTAAATTCTCTTGCAATGACATTTAAGTAGGAGTGGGAGCCCAAGCTCTTTCACAAAAACAATACATCAAACAACACAGCTGCAATAAGGCACTCTTTTCCTAGCAATTCAATATGTATATGTGCCATCACAAAACTCATTTTTGTTCTGTTAATTCTTCACCTTAAAAGAACCAAGAACTAAGAATTAAGATATATATATATATATATATATATATATATATATATAATTAAATGGAAGAGAAAATTAATATCTAATGAGCAGTACACATGTGCTGCTTGTGATAATTACTTCAAAAGTATTCAACTTTTATACTCTTCAAAAGTAAGAAAGAAAAACTTATACATATATTTATTTGATTTTTCTTTATGGATGTGATCCAAATTATGGGAGATTGGAGGTAAAATGAATTGGATGCTTCAAAGTGGATGTCAACATTACTTTTTAGCAAAATCTTACTTGATTCTATTAATAAATACTTACAACAAATGCAAGATGAATGCTGAGATATCAAAAAGTTCTTTTTGGGTCTAATATCTCAATTTTATGTATTACTGTTATTAAATTGAATTTTCTGTTTTATTAGGTAGTAATTGGGTAGAGATATTTGTTGCATAACAATATCTAAAGGGGGCCAGCTTGTGTTGCAGCCACTCAAGAAATTCCTCCTCATCCTGCTCATTATTTTGTTGTAATTGTTCTTCTGCTTTGCTGCAAAGCTCCTTTGCTCCTCCTTTCTCTTGCTCCTTCTTGCTCTTCTTCTCACTTCTAATAACGTGCAAATATAGGGGGGGGGGGGGGCACAATAATAATGTGATAACTCATCTTGTGCCTGAAAGAGAGGATGCAAATTTCTCACTTGAGGGCGATGGGTGTTGATGTGAGATGCTAGTAGCGGCTTGTTAGTAACCTCTCTCTCCCTCTCTCTTTTTCTTTCCCATCTCATAAAAAGAAAGAAATGCAAAAGAAGGAGAGAAAGCAAGTGAAGATAGATGTGTCACTTGAGCCAAACTCCCATGTCCTCATCAAAGTGATGTAGTAGTGTTTGTAATACAAGGATGAGGGGCACGAAGAACAAGTTGTAGAAGAAGAATAAGAAGAGCAGGAGCCTGCAGAAGAATAAAAGAAGACAAAGAAGCCAAGGAAGAAGAGTGGGGGAAAGGAAAGGAAAGGGAAGGAAAGGGAAGGGGTGAGGCCATTTTCTGTTGCCTAAGCAACTCTATGGTCCTCTTCTAATCCCTCATATATATATATATATATAATTCCTTTTCCTTCTCCTTTGCCTTCTTTCATGGATAATGGTGGTCAGTGATGCAAGACAATTGACAGCCTAACCTTCATTGCCTAACCTCCCTCCCTCCTTCCTTCCTTGCTTCTAACCTGCTTCCTACTCCTAACCTCCTTCTTTTGCTTGGAAGCAGGGCAATGGAGGATGAGCTCTGTGTGTGTGTGTATGTGAGTGTCTGTGTGTGGAAACACACACTACAAGGCATATTTTTATGAGCTAAACAATCTTAAACCTTCTCACCCTTCAACCTCTCTTCATGGTTGTTTCCTTCTTGGGGAAGGGGAGTAAGTAAAGAGAAGGTGAGAACAACCTCTCCTTCCCTCTCACTCTATTCTCCCACTTCAACCTCCCCTTCTCCTCTGATCTCTGCCTAGTCAACCACCCCATTTGTGTGAAGGGTGTGTTTTGATCCCCACTGCACACATGTATGTGTGTGTATGTGTTTATTTTATATGTACCAAAACGGATATAATATTAAATATGAAAACCAAACCATCAAACATCAAAACCCACCAAGGCACAACCAAGCCAGGGCATCACAGTGTGCTGTGGGTTGGTTGCTTTTATTTCTTTAGTTTTATATCAAGATTTTGTTTATATTCTTTCTTTTCTATTCTATTGTATATTGGAGAGATCAATATTGACTCCATAATAAGCACATGAATTGATTTTGATTGCTTGGTGCTTAACTTCCCCAAACTTTTGATCTCTTGCTTTTTAACAGAAGAGCTCATCCAGCATCTCTTCATGGTTGTTTCCTTCTTGTTTTAGGTTTCATAAGATTCTACTATAAAAATTGAAGTGGTTTAAAGTTACAAGGTGAATTTGGAAATTCTTTGATTTTTTTAAAATACACAACATGTCATGTAATGATGCACAGATTGGTTCTTCAAAATTCAAATTTTGATACTCTGAGAAATAAAAGTAGAATACGAAAATAAAATATTATTTAAATATTAGAACCAGTTAGTGGTGTATTGCACTAATTTTTTTCAATATCACTGTCCATTACAAATTAGGTTTTCAAAATTTTATTGTTGAATAATTCTTTATATATATTGTGCATTCAGATTGAAGTATATTTTGAAATTACTCCTAACAAACTGATATTTTAACCAATGAATAAAAAAATGTTAGTTAGATGATACGAATTAGAACAATATTCTATAAAAAGCATAAATATTCTAAAAATAAAATTTTAACTACACTGCACTAATGCGTGTAAGTGCACAATATTTGTTAATTTAATTATTGTAAATTGAGTATACTATAAATTCTACATGTAATTTTTAAATTTTACGCTTTCAAATTCATTATTTCATTTCAAAGATAGTCTTTTGATGTAAGATCAAATCAATTTCATGAAAAATGTTTTCTTTACAGACTGCTTTATAAAGAACATTAAGTTCAGTTATAGTGGATTTTTTTGAAAAGTATAAAATTTTACAAAAGATATATTGCAGTTTGAAGAATATTAATCCTGCTTACTCAAAATCATCTTGGAAATGAGAATTGTGGGTATGGGGCATAAGTACATTGATTCTTGAACAAGGCAAAGTCGTTACATCTTCTAAACCTGGAAATTCACACTGAAGTTGTGACATAATCCAAATCCATGCTCCAAGTTTCATGAAGCTTAGCCAATGCATGGATTAGGGTCTTGTGATGCTTGGCTACCAGCAATGTCAGTAAAATTATGGTTCAATTCTTGTAGAGGAGAAAAATATGCAAAAAATGCAAAAATATGAATGTTGCAAAATCTATAAATGATGGGAAAGGTTAAGATTAGTCATCAGTCATGATGAAAAGCTAGTATTAGTTGTCCTATTCAACATGAAAAAAATCAAAGTGAGAGGAAGAAATCAGAGAGCAAGGGATATGTGAAAAGCAGAGAATTTATGGCACATGGCACTGGAACTTCTTCACATTTGGGCAATCCAGCACTTCTCTTATTGAAGAAAAAAAAAAAAAAACAAAACAAAAAAAAACAAAAACAAAAACACAAACACAAACACAATTCATGTGTCCACCAGCTGGTTACTTCCAAGCTGAATTGTTTCCAGCCATTTTGTAAACTGTCTCTATTCAATTGCAAACTTCGTGATTGATGCCATCTTATGTTTTTGAGGAACACATAATGTGTATTTCTGCTTGGTAATAGTGTACGGTTAAGTTACGTGCCTCTACATCTGAGTTAGACATAATGTTGCAGTACTGAACTTCCTTGTTGGAAGAGAATGGGGGTGGCCACATGCTTAAAATTTGAGTCCTATTTGATTTGAAACTAACAGGATAGATTTTATCATTCATCTGTCAAAGTTTGCACAAAAACCAAAATGTATCTAAGTATGTACACACATTTGATCAAGCTAAAGATGATGCTTGTTGTTGTTGTTGTTGTTGTTGTTGCTGCTGTTGTTCAAAATGTGCATATACTTGTACAAGTAATGAATTGGAGGGGGCCTGGATGACTTGATAGAAACCCGTGAAATTTTCTCAGGCTCCAAGGCCTCAACACTTAGATAGGGTGTAAAACAACATACTGTCCAACAAGGCTGAACCTGGACAACAGTTCTGGCTCCAACCTTTGCTTTAGCAGCCTGGCCATAGGAATTCCGATGCAGAATTGTCCAGCGGTGCAACTCTTGGAGACAGTTGGCAGCCTGCACATGGGTGGAGGTGGGGGGTACCACAGAGCCAAAGTCTTGAGCCATCATAATATTAGGGTTCAATCTAACTTGTGTATCATGGAGTACAATTTGAATGGAACAGTGAAACCATTGCTATACAATTCTCCTTGGAGTACTAGTACCCAAAATCTTGGTTTCTGGTGAGATCAAATTGGTCAAAATGGGAAAGAAAAAAGTAAAAAGTAAAAGAAAGAACATACATGTAGTTGATGGGTCTCAAGTTGAATTCTCTTGGTGGGCTCAAATCAAGCTGTCTGATACATCTCCCCACCCCACCTTCCATTATTGCTGCTATTGGTTTTTTGTAGTATACTACCAATTCTCCTGACTAGGGTTTATTTCATTTTCATTTTTTTTTTATTTTTTTCCCTCACAGTAATGCCTTAGTTGCTAACTCTTTGTTTGTCAGCTCCAGTGCATAGAGTTCTGGTGACTTACTTCACTCCTTGAATGCCCAGGAATGGGAGTGTGTGTGTGTGAGTGTGTATAGTAGAAAACTGCAATCCCACTTAGGGTCCTTGGTAATCACCTGGCTTTGGAATGTGTGGATGGCTCCTCCCACAGGTACATGTTCCACATGTTTGTTGCCTTTCAGGCAGAGTCAATGTAAAACCAATACAGGCAGTCCTATCTACATTTTCCCATTGCATACACCCTGTAGACCTGCTGCATCTGTAGTAGCCCAACTTGGAACAGTATGTCTGGGTGTTAGTCTACATCCCTTCTCTCAGTGAGGCCATTGAAAGCAACTGTCTATCATGGTTTGAAGGACAGGCACACCATAGACATTCCAGGACCACCCAGGGACTTTAATCTCCCAGCCTGGAGTCAAATGGCTTCCTCCCTGCCAGTTTTAATATAGGGCTATGAAAATAGTTTTTCTGCAATGCACAATCGAGACAAAAAGAAAAAAAACAGAAAAAAGAAAAAAAGAAGAAGCACATGAATATATGGCTCTGTCAGCTGCATTGATTGGCTGCATGAGCGACCCCAAAGGACGACACAGAATGTGCTCTTAGGCTTTGAGAAGTTAAAATGAGCGCAAATCATTACCAGCCTTACACAGATTCCAAACCACAGAGGACCGGATTTAATTGTCCCTACTGTACAAGGGATTATTTTGGACGACAAAGTTCACTTAAGGGGAGCTACGGAAAAACTTGAGACTGCCACGGATGGTATAATTGTTTAACAGGAAGGAGTTGGGTCTTGCGGTGGCATTATTCGTGCGACAGTGGGCACCAGTGTGTCTGCATGACGAGGCTCGTCCCGAGTGTTTTGTTTTTTTGTTTTTTTTACTATGAGAGTATGGTCACATATTATTTTTTTAATAATTTTGTAAGTTGTTTCATTGCCAGGAATGAACCAGTCTCAGTCTCCAACAGTGGAAGCGGCCCAACACTGGTTGTTCTTTGTCTAGACAACGAATATATTGTCTTGTTCTCATCTGTTACGCTGGCTAGCTCCGGCTGTGGATTCCTCCTGGATCATGCTCCGGTCTGCCGTTTGATTTGACATTGTTATATTGTACTTGAGTTCCTCAACTGCGCCCCCGTTGGTTAGGCTTTGAAGCATAATTTAGAGGGGCTCGGCACGCTCCGATTGCGGCTAACCCTAATTACAGATGGTGCATCAGCGCCAGTTACCGCAACCACCATAATGTACTCGAAAGTATGAGAAAGGAAGAATTGTGACAGGGTACCTGAAAAGTCTCAGAAAGGGAACATATGTTGATAATTACTGTTCTAAGCATTTACACATGATCCCTGGAGAATAATTTTGTACACCGCACCGAAGGACGGCGTTCAGAGAGGAGACCGAACCAAACCAGCAGGGTTGTATTTGAGTGTAGGACCAGGTGATTATCGAAGTGGAAGTCGAAAGAGGACGACCCAGATTTTTACATGCGAAGGTAGGTTGCAAGAATGGCCCGAAACGAAAGATGAACACAGTACCGAGCCAGGGGGTGTTGTCTCTCAAGTGTCCGAAGTCGGAAACATCACGCTATGTATAGACGAAGACCTGCATGCTGTAGAGCGGCACTTGATCCAAAATGAGGAGAAAGAGTAAGCGCGGAGCAGGACATTCAAGGCTGACAGTGTATAATGCATACCAGTGACGGCGAAAAGGGGCATATGGACGACAACCGAGCTTCATGGTAGGGCCACCGCGTCGTGACCGTCAGCCATCGCGGTCGGGTTTTGGTAGCAAGCGTTGCTGGGTCCAGGAAGACGAGATCAGACGCACAAAGGGACGGGCTAGGGCTGATCAAGGTGATGTGTCATGGGCCAGCTTTGGTGATTCCGGTCGCAAAGAAGAAGGCGATGCGACCAAGATTTCTACATTTCTTGCTCTGGTCTTCCTCACCACCGAGTGCTCACCCACCTGTTGTCCATTGACCTCTCCTCGAAGTAACCTTGCAGTGGATAGACGCCTGAAACCATGGCTCCAAGCTTGTGTGCTGTTTCATGTTCTGTTTTCTGTTCCATCTCTGGGGTCCTTTGGAGCACCCTAACTACTCTCTTACACGCATATGATCTTGTGTGCCGGATACTTTTGGAGTTGGTTTTGCTTGTAACGTCCTTCCGTGTCTAAAGTTGTTAATTTCAGTGCCTCGCACTGTCTTTCGTGCTTCTAGTTGTTCATCGAGTTGAACCGGTTTTCCTTCCGAGCACGTCAATGTGTCCGCAGACCACACTCTCCTCTCGGGAGGCCTGTAGAGAATGCCTGCGACATGGATCGGGAGTCAACATCCTGGGTGCGTCCTTCGATGTGGTTAAGCCCTCTTTGATTATCTTTTCTCTGTCCATCTTCATACAAGGTTGGTGTCGGCGCTCGCAGAGCTGAGGCTGTTGCTCGCAAAATTGATATAAGAGCGCCGAGAATCGGCTTCTAGATTATCTTTCCCAAGTTTTTTTTAAACGATCCAAGTTTTCTTAAATGTAGATGATGGAAGCTTTGGCTGTGATTTGGATACCGTATTCATTACGATAGAACTTCCTGATTTGCTGAAATCAAAGCCTTGGTTGGACTTCTTTAACTATAGATCATCCACTGTTGTAATTTTAGGCGATCCAGCTAATAACTATAAAGCTTAAACAAGAGAAGCCGCTCCTACGACTGAGTCATACTCCAAAGAAGTGATCAGTGGAAGCTATCCTGACTACGATGGAGTTCCGATTTCTTAAATATTGGACTAGAAGATGTGAATTATACTCCGTAGATCTCCCAAGCCCTTAAGAAGGAACCAAACCGATGCTGCTTAAAAGACTACAGTATTGGTGGACCAACCGTTTCATGAGACTTATCCCCGCAAGGCCCAACTGGTGCCATCGCGAGTTGTAGCCTGAACTAGTTGCTAGACTCTAGATGAACTCAAGCTTTCAGCCTCCTGCAGGGATACAATCACATTTTCTTTCATTTAGATCTTTCCGCATACGTGCTCAATCTCTTCGTTCTTGCATCATCTTTCAACTCAGCAAGAGGAAGATCAACTTTTAGATCCAACCATGGCATCGTCACTTTCCGTAACGATCTTCAAGCTCGCTGATATCTGAATGCCTGTATTGTAATTCGGACGAGTCTCCTAGCTAGAATCTGTTCTATTGACTTAACTCATACATGTATTTGCTTATAATTCTGTTTGTCGTTCCAGATCATATGTCAGTCATGCTCACCTCCAAGATTCGTGGGCGTTTAATCGTCTCCCGTACAAACCCGTAATTTGCGTATTTCGTAATTGGAGAGGTTGCTAGACGTCTTGATATATGCATTAATGACATTGTCGTCAATGCTCTAAGTTATTGTACAGAATCCATTATCTGCAAAGAGAGTGCATTGACGTTAGTAAGGTTTGACAGTTGCATACAACTAATTTTTCCTGAAAAGTAAATCAGGCCTCCTTCAAGACTGTTTTGTGTAGACGATTAAGGGGATACCCCGTCGGTGCATGACTGATATCGGCAAATGTCGTGGATTGACATGAATTTATTCACGTACTGACAGGATCCGCAGGTTGACTGATGAGAATGTTTGATTGTCTGCAGTCGAATCTACCAGAGTGTGAAAGAGAGTTACAAGTGCGAATACGGAGTCATGCAAGCGACCTCGAGAGGAATCCCACAAGCCTACCTGAGACGCCAACGTCACCGGCGATTCTCCTTCAAGAAAACAACGTGCGTCCACATATCAACCCCCAGTACTCTCAATTGATTCACTGACAGGATTTGATATACAATACGTCTTTGGACCTCCCGGTATTCAGAAAATTAGCGAACATGTATTAGCAGGTAATAACTTACATGCGAAAACCTCATAAAATCAAATCGACGTAGTTTCGTTGAGGACGACCAGCAACATTATTCAGTGGCAGCGCCGTTGGAGTTTTCCTCCATCCTTACATTACACAAAATTCTCCGAGAAGTCGGTTGACGCCCAAAACCTCGATGAAATCATGGGGGCGTCCAATTCAGATGGCCTTCGTATTTGGACGAATGTGTCAAATATGTTGACCTCCGCGTATGTTCAGGATCGTCGAGCAACAAATGCTATGAGCTTACATTGTATGCAAGGTGATTTTGTGGATTGTCCGTTCAGGTTTCCGGCCAGCTACTGAGTTCCAAGCGAGTTCGACTTATACAAAATATGCACCGATATAACAGCCCAAATAATATGACTTATGATGATTCACGTTACTTCAATGGGAACCAGGAATCGACATTTGACGTGGAAAATGAAGCTCCTGAAACAGCGGGGCGAAATATGATGCTTAACTTTGGTGGAGCAATGGACAGATTAGATCCATCAGCAAGCTTCCCTGGGTTAGGGGAGCTACCGTCAAACGGTATGGAACCTGCCGTGGAGCAAAACCTGACAGGCACCTTCACTGGAGACTTGAACTCTACTGCGTACGAAGTTGGGGATGATCATAGTCATTTGCTTCAGGAAATGCTCCAACAACATCCACAATCCCAACAAGCTCAATCAACTGACGCTCATTCTCAGGTGAATTGCATTCCAGCTGATTACTGCGCAAGATTTTGGAAACATTTACTTCCAAAACATTAGTTAGAATTAGAATAAGTTGCACTTTTCATGTTCAACAGATCTCTATTTAGTTTCATTAAATAAGCAAACATGGGACTTTCATGTTCAATTTATGTCAGGCTCCAGCAACGGCAAGTCACGGGTCGTGGGAAGACAGCCTACATGTTTTGCAAGAAATGGTCCACCTTCAGCAGCAGCAGCAGCAGCAGGTGCACCAGATCTATAACCAGACCCAAACCGAGCATGCGTTCAATCAAGGTTACAATGCCGATCGCTTCCGAAGCGCAGCTTTCGGCGGCAGTGCGAAGTTCCCAGGCGAATCTGATCTGCTCAACCTCTTTCAGTTTCCCAGAAGCACTACAACATCTGCCATACCGAGTTTCGGCTACACAGCAGGCATTAGAGGAAAAGGTCCCTTGTACTCGACTTCCACGATTTCAGGTCCAGTCAATACTGGAAGTATTTATGAAAACAGAGGCATCGGTTATGATCCTCTTCTTGCACATCACTTACAAAACTCCTCGGAAAGCTTTTTCCACAACTTATCACGGGGGAATACTCCGGAGACTTCGAGACATGGTGGACCGAATATTCTTGTAGATCTGGATCAGGAGAGAGAAGACTTGAGCGGGAAAAATGTAGCATCAGCATATGGATCTAAGAGAGATCATGGTGCTGCATCGGGAAAAGGAGAACCAAGAGGAGTGAACCATTTTGCAACTGAGCGACAGAGGCGAGAGTACCTGAACGAGAAGTATCAAACCCTACGCTCTTTGGTACCTAACCCAACAAAGGTAGATGTTTACATACCCTACTGTACTGCAGAATATCAAACATCATGGAGAGGATGTATGAGTAAATGTGAATTATTAATCTTACAGTATTTAGACGTGATTGCTGTGATTGCTGTGATTGCAGGCAGACAGAGCTTCGATAGTTGCAGACGCAATTGAGTACGTAAAAGAACTGAAAAGAACAGTGCAAGAATTGCAGCTACTAGTGCAAGAGAAGAGGCGAGCAGCGGGGGACTCAAGCGGCGGCAAGCGTCGACGGTCGATGGACGATGCGGACAACTATGCAGGAAGCTGCACCACTGAAAATGCTTCCAACGGACATCTCGTGATGCAGAAAGGCAACGACACTTTCTCTACGGATGGGTCTCAATTGAGATCCTCTTGGCTACAAAGAACATCACAAAATGGGACGCACGTGGATGTGCGAATTGTGCACGACGAGGTGACAATAAAGGTCAACCAGAGAAGAGGGAAAAATTGTCTAGTGTTTGATGTCATCGCCGTGCTACAAGAGTTGCAGTTGGACCTTCTTCAAGCCAGTGGGGCTACAATCGGCGAACACGATGTTTTCCTCTTCAATACCAAGGTCTGAGTTATCAGACTATTTGTACCAATTAGTTACGCATGCATGTTTACGTTTACTTGTTTGTAATTTTTAATTAGATTTAGTAATCGGATTTGTAAGGATTAGGGTCCACCTAATAGATACTCACAGAAAAAATGGTTCTCATTCCGGTGATGATATGCGCAGATTCTGGAGGGCTCGTCCACATTTGCAGGATACATTGCAGTGAAGCTGCTGGATGCTCTTGATCGCCACCTGGTGATCAATCCATAGAAACCACCTGCTCCATTATGTGAGACTTTACAGGTGCTAACGAGTTCCACTGGTACAACGTTACACATTCACTTCGTACGGTTATGAAAAGTGACGGAGAGCCTAAAGAAAGTGCATCCTCACAAAACATATATCTGTGCTCGAAATTATAGAGCCGAGTAACTTGTTTTTTTGATGCAATTTCTTGGAGTTGTACATTTAGTCGAATTGAGCGGATACCATAGAAGTAAGCTAAGGTTTCTAAATCACATACACTGTACAGTTTTAAAGTCCGGGTACCGCCCGTAGAGAAATGACAAATCTGAAGTCTGGTTAGGAATGCTCCTTCCAGTTCTTCAGCTTAGTTGTGACTGGCAGGATATACCTAGCATGCTCTGCTAATTAAGATTTCCGTTAGCTTTTGCAGGACATTACAATAGATGATTCTAACCGTTAATACGATAAAGTGCTATCACAGCACTTCCTCGATTCTTCAGCTTCGCATGTGAACATTGTAGAGCACCTCTTCAAGGCTCATTTGTCAAGCAATAATAAAATTTCTTGAAAATGTATTTCAATACGAATCTCAACTTGAATATTACACGTTATGCACTTGAGTTATTGAAGACAGTTCGAAACCGTGTCTGACATTGCTTGCATCGAACCGCAGAACAAACAGCTCTCCCTCTCTCTCTCCCTCCCTCCACCACATGGATTTGCTACGTATTTTCATCCTTAGCTCCCTCATTTTCTCAACTCACTACATGAACCCCTACTACAGACCCGAGCGCTTCAAAAACAAAATCTTAAGCAAACTCACAAAAAAAAAAAAAAAAAAAAAAAAAAACATTAGATTAGAAAAGAAACACTAAACGAGGCACGAGAATTAAATGCAGATTGATGTCAACTCTGAAGATCAACATCGACAAGTAAATCTGGAACGACGCAAATTTACCCTGAGAATCAAGGCCTTCCAATCAAGGAGCATAACTTCTATTATGGACGAATGACACCACCGAATTTCGTTGATGTCTCGTCTTCCATCACATCATCATTGTTGACTTGGGGAGACTAGAATTCGAACAGCACTCGGCGTCGTTTTGGAAGCGCAATTTGAATCCTAATAGGAAATTGGAAAACTTTTCAATTAGAAGACAGTTTAATTTTTTTTTGAGCACCTGAAGAGCGGTATCCTGAACCTTGCTCTAAGGTTCGAGGTTCTAAAAAGTGGTTGAAGTTGAAGAATTGAGCTTCGCGTCGTTCTTTGAGACTCGGGCTTTTTCTATTGGCCTTCGTGGAGCCTCAAACTTTGATGAAGAACAGAGGCCTTTTTGGGAAGTAAACAGGGAAGTTGTCAAATACGAAGAGTTGCTTTTGTAGATTAGATATTAGCAAAACAATTGTATGACTTTCTTCTTGCAACTTAGGGAAACGGTGAACGTTAGCTTAGGAATACGGCTGAATTGAGGGCCATGGCGATGACGGATGGAAAACGGGTGGTGGCCTCTTCAGATATTCGATTTACTCTTTCTTCTGGATTGGTAGACACCACAGTCCAACAAGTCAGAAGCTAGTAGGAGACGATGGTGAATAATTGGCGTCGCTATTGCATTTGCGAATCTGTTTACATGCTTTAATGCGATACTGCCTGCAGTAACATAGAAGCAATGAATTTCGTCTTTCTTGTATAGATTGTATACTAGAGCTTTTGACCTTTTTGATCGCGACGCTATCCCAATCGATTAACAAATTGAACAAAGGAGGAGACCAGTGGAACTGTAAGAGATTGAAAGTCTAGAGTCATAAAAATAAAGAAATAAATAAATAAACGTGGAATATGTATTAGTTTCGTTCACCCAGGTCGTAATCGAGAATCCGGAAAGGGAGATGAAACGGATTACGAACTGCGTGGCCGATAGACTGTGCTAATAGACGGTGATGAATTTGAATTAGCGTTATCGCTGCTTTCTGTTGAAGACTCTTGTGGAATAGCTTTAGCACGTGAGAAAATGCACGTGAGAAAGAGATTGACAGTTGAGAAGGACATAATCACAAGTTCTGAACCGGCCAGGTTGACTCAGACTTAACGATGTGAAGTTTCGCTACTCCATTTTTGAAAACGGCAAATATATCAGACGTACGCGGAGGCAACGAAATTTCTTATCACGTCAATTTTCTTCAGATTACTTCGTCATTAACTGCATCGCAAACTCGTCGGAGTCGTGAGTCTATGGTAACAAGCCTGCCATCGAGACTGCAACTTCGTCTCCTATTCTGCCATCGGATTCGGTAACAAACTTTTCCCATATTTGTGTGGAAGCCTAGGTTCGGATTGTAGTTGCTTCCAAGTCCGCTAGCTTGGCGTGGTCGTGCCTTCAAGCACAACTTGGCGTACAATTTTATGACACAAATATTTTAAGGGAACGAAACACATCTGCTTACTAGTTAAGGCATTAGATACAAACGAATTTTCATGTGTATCGTAGGGGTAAGGTGTGATTCGGACCTTGCATACTCGAAGTGGCGGTTGTACTAATGGGATTCAAATCTTTCAGAAGCAGAGTACCAAACTTGAATCATTTACAACCAAAGAAACATCACAAGAGAGGAATGCGTACAAATGAGTCCCTCATCAAGTACCATCTATGGATTCGGCCCTCGAGCCTACCATCCTCAGAGAAAACAAAGAATAGGCTAGGGTGTCGCTGAGCATCTAGCTTTTACCGTCAGAAAGGTTCAATTTAGCAGCTTCCATGTGGAGAAATATGTGCGACTCAAGTTAAGCATACTGTCATGCATTCGCTTCGACATAGACAACAAGGAACACTAATATATTGAGTAAATCATTCTTCCTTCATTCAGAAGCTGACCCGAAAATTCGGTCATCAGTGACACCAAGAGTTCTCATAGTGTCTTGAAGGCATTTTCACAGGTGCTTCCAATGGAGATAAGGTTCGTCGGCTAAGTATCATATGTCATATTCGAACAATTCGAGAACCTGAGCATGAAAGCGAAGAGATCAGAAAGTGACTTAGCAGATGCGCTTGTTGCTTGAAGGCGAAAGTCTCTGCGAAACGGAGTCAGTTTACTCTTTGGTGAAGTCCTCATCTCGGAAGGTCGTTGTGTTCTTTACCCTCATCTTACCTGGTAAGCATTATTCCAATCCCGATTGAGTGAGATGTGTCAGATTGTTTTGAATTAACTGAAGAAATGTCAAGGTCCAAAATCTAAGAATAAAGAAATATTTCATCGTACAGGATTCATGAATCTTTACTGGTTTCAAGGCAGTTCTTCGTTTGATTTTTCTTAGCACTTGGAAATGCTTTGCATTGACAGCTGAAGCTAGCCAGAAACACCACATACTGTAACTCCAACTCCTTGTCAACATGTTGATTAGTGGATACAATTTTTGATTGGATAGTAGGTGTTGTGAAGGGAATTTTTAGATTCAGGAGACAAGGCAAAAGCATAATACTTTTGAAACTTGTAATTGGTTGATATGACTTTACACTAAAGAAAAAATGAAAGAAAATGCAATTTATTTTTTACATGGCATAAATAATGCGGTTCTTTAGAATTTGTGCTCAATTTATTCTCAAGAACTAATTTTCACTAAATTGTAAAAAATTGTGCTAAAAAATACTAAAAAATACTAAAAATATTTATTAAATAATTCTTTAAATTTATCTATATATTTTAATCTATTTTTCTATTTATATTTTATATTTTATATTTAGAATTATAATTTTAAAAAATCAATTCATGTTACAATTATTTCTTATTTTATATTATTTTCAAAAGCCAAGGATTTGACAACAACAACAAACAAAACAAGCAAACAAACAAAATCAAAATAAAATAAATTCAAATTGAAAGATCATCATATGACTTCTAAACCATATTTTTTTGCTAACAACTTACTATTTTTAAAAAATTCAATGTATATAAGTATTCTTGTAGCTCAAAGATTACATAAAGAAGTAACTAAATAATCTTCAAAAATATTGCATTACGTACATTTAGAGTTATACTGCAAAGTTAATTGAAGGCTCTTATTGCCAAAAGAAAATAAGAGAGTAATAAATTTAACTTATTCTTTGTACAATGAAAAACATAATTACAAGACGTTTAAGTCTTTTTCAATGGTAAAATTTGAAATATCTTTTCAATACATTGTTTTTTATATTCAATTTATAAAAAATCAATTATTATTCTTATACAATAGAAGTAGGTTTTTTATAATTTAAAAATAAATAAATAAATAAATAAATAAATTATAACCATTGTTGCAATTTAAAAAAATTACAAACACAAAAGATAAAGATTCATTGTTTTCTCACCTTGTAGCTCTTAAAGAGATTAGAGGGTTTACATTAGGTAAATTTGTTAAGTAAGGCAATATTAAATTACTCATTTACAAAAAAGTTATGCACAATAAAATTATTGTACTAAGATTTGATCAAAACACATACATGGTTTTGTAATTATAATTGATACTAAAGCCACTATACTCTCCAAAGACCTTAATTATTCAACAAATAAGACATATATTATATTAACATCCTTTCTTAAAACCCCTCTCTAAAAACTCCTCTCTAATGATAGTGTAAACAATGGCCAATCTAATCTAAAGTTTCTTACAAGAGTCAAAACACTATTCAAAAATAGTAATACTCAATCACCAACTTAAAAATTTTGAACTTATTTTACATCATTGATATATTACCTCAAATGACTTTTGTGGTACTAGTTCCTTAATACACTTTCCTTGGTACACTTTAACTTCCAACACAAACAAACAATAAAAAGCTAGAATGCCTACCTTCTGGCCAGACTTGTAACTAGAAATGACACACTTCCTTAAATAGCAACAATGCACAATCAACCTTAATATGAGAATAACAATAAAATCACAATACTTTTGTACCATACGATATTTGAATACTTGTGTATGGCGTGCATGTCAGAAATTTACTCCTTGGACTGCTGTTGTGAAATCACTAAAATTCATTGGTTAGCGGTTCTTGTATAAAATCTAATAACACAAAGAAACCGAGGCAACACTTAATCACTAACAAATCTTATTTGAAGGTTGTTAGTGTTGTTTGAACTCAATCAATACCTAAGGACAACTGCCTTAGCCGTTGCCACTCTCAAAACCTCTACCTCGAGCTGCAGTTAGCGCCACTGTACTGCATAAAAGTTCTACTCAAGAATAGCATGAAGGAAAGAGAATCAAAACAACCATGATTCTGGCAGGTTCGAAAGAAATTGCTACCAAGAAGGAAGACGAAAAACTTAGATAACAACAAAGTCATGTAACTATCTTAATCATTACATGAGAGAACTCAGCCACAATGGCTTAGCAACAAGACGCTATCATACGATTTATTAAATCATCTAGAAATAGAAATAGAACAAGCATACCCTTCAGAAAAGCAAAACAGCTTCAAGTGAGAAGCTGGTAATGTAAGAAGCGAATCAGATGACGGGAAAACACGTGATCAAGAGTAGTATATCTCTGCACCGGTAGACCAGCTGGATGTGTAGCTTGAAGGAATTTCTTCCTCTTTCAAATCCTTGTCACCCTCTGTAGGATTTTTTTCACAGTAGCGACGTGCAGGGCACCTGGTAAAAGTCAGCAAAGTTCTGTAATGCAATTAAATCATCGGTTCGTTTACGCTAACCCTTGGGTGTAAAGAATGCACTCTCAGATAAAAGCCAAAGGATCTGCCTAAGGAGGAATTTTTCTTGTAGCGCAATAAGACCGATGGTGCTACAAGTCCGGGCTATCGATAGCATGCAGTGCACATTCACTACTGATATTCAAAGCAAATTTCAGTTAAGTCGTCGTCACTGGCATGGCATCAGTAGAAGGCAAGTCCAACGGCCTCGAAAGGTGCTCATATGTTTCGTTGTTTCACTGTAACTACTCAATAACCGATTCGTAAGACATTATAAAATTTTCACAACTCAAAAACAATGCAGAAATACAAATAACTCAATCGTGACAATCTATCCAATTCAGCTGCAGAAAAAAATTCCCATAACTCACTGTGTAAGCGATAATCCAACTGAATAATATACACCTAATGGGACCAAATCAGGTACCTGCTCTTGGCTTTTGTCATCAACGATGACAAACGTAGTTCGATGTTAACATCGCCCTCCATTCTCTACCATCATTCGAATTCGAGAATCCACCTTCATCCTCATCGTGCCACATTGTTGTTACTTCTAGCAAGAGCCGAATACTAATCTCTTCTTGCAATAAGGATACACGCTAACAATTACTTGCAGAAACCAATGGCACAGAGAAGCCAGACTCCACAGCCAGAAAATGAGGGGACAAATCTGGGCCTTACAACCATCCCAAAGCATTGATTCTCTGATTGAGACTAAATTTTAAAATGGTAATGGATGAATGATTGAACGATGGTTAAGAATAATGGATGACAACAAACTTGGCTGTGTTGGTTGCAAGCAATGAAGCAGACCTAATATTTTTCTTCATTCTTAGATCCGAAAGCTTCACAGGTATTTGTTGATGTGTCAGGTTTTAAAAAAAATTCAGAGGTTAAATGAAAATTTCAGTTACTAAAATTATATTCACAATATTGGAAAGAAACAAAGTAGAAACACAAAGAAAGTCGAATATTCCATGTTCTTCAGCTTGCTCTGCCTTGGAAAAGCTGACATATTCGGGTCAGGAGAAGATTTGATAGAATTTAGTGGTAAAAGGCCAAAATATAATTTGACCTGGTTGAGGGTAAAATGCGGTACTGGGGAAAAAAAAGAATACCTGTAGCCGCGATAGAAAGTGAAGAAAATTAGGGCTGAGGTAAGAGGGCATCGGTTCGAATCCATGGCGTGGCGATGCCCAACTGTGTAACTCTGCGACGCGCGCTGTGGCTCTCCCTTTCACTTCCCCACTCCTAGTGACTGTCGTCGCTCATCACCATGGCGGATCTTCAGCATGACGAACCCTTGCCGGAGCTTAAGGAGGACATCGGAGGAGAGGTACGCGTTACTCTGGTGGAGCAGTGAAGTGAGATGTTTGTTAGGGTTCCTAGTTTTTGTTTCAGTGTTGGTGGAGTTTCTGACAGAGATTCTGACGAGGGGGTGAAGATAGTGTTCGAAGTTTGCTGGGGTCTGATTGAAATTAGGGGTTCGGTTTTCTGAGCAGATTGGGGCTTTCGATCCCTCAAAGAAAAAGAAGAAGAAGAAAGTTCGCATTCAGGAGGATGAAGAGCCCATCCCCGTGAAGGAAGCTGCTCCTGCTGAAGGCGGCGTGGATTCATCATTTGCTGGTCTGAAGAAGAAGAAGAAAAAGAAACCAGTAAGCTTTTCCAGTTGCAATTGGGGTAGTGAAGTTTAGGGCTGAGGGATCGAATATCAAGGGATGTTTGTCAAGCTGCTGTGGTGCCTTGTGTGCTGCAAATTGTTAGGTTTGAAAGTGCCTGCGCGTAGTTGAATCGGAAGCTCTCCAAATAAACACCTTTCTTAACAGTCAGCTGTTGATATTTGCTGTGAGAAGGTTGAAGACGAAAATCTAGAGGAAGAGAACGGCAATGATGAAGATGAAGCTACCGGTTAGGATTCTTTCTGTTCATGAGGGGTTCAGCGGATAAATACACGAACTTTGCTTCTGTACATGTGCAATGATGGCTTACGACGGGCATAGATGAAACAAGATGAGACTTGTAGAGCTTTTATATTTAGTTATCGATTTTCTTATTCAGAATCTTGTTAATCAAAGTGTTGGATTTATCGTCTTCTTATAGCTCATGAATCTTTGAAACCCAATGCAGGGGACGGTGAAGTTGATGATGATGATGATGAGCCTGCCGAAGGTATTCAACTGGGCATTTCTCAGTATCCTTGGGAAGGATCGGATCGTGACTACTTGTACGAGGAGGTAAGACCTCCAATGCGATCAAGTGGTTTTCTTGCTTTTCCTGCATTATCTCCCTGTGTAATATTGATTACTGCTTTAAAGTCTCGTCTAACTTTTTAGGCAGGTTCTGTGGTGCTGAGATGATGATTTATCAAGCAGTATCCTTCTTAGTAAACGTTGGCCTGTGCATTGGTATGAACTCTTTTTCTTTTTCCTGTTTTAATTTTTTGGTATCTGCAGCTCTTAGGCCGGGTATTCGATATCCTGAGAGAAAACAATCCAGAGCTGTCTGCAGAGAGGAGGCGTACTATCATGAGGCCTCCTCAGGTTCTCCGAGAAGGAACCAAGAAGACCGTCTTTGCTAACTTCATGGACCTTTGCAAGACGTATGTATATTCCCTCCTGCGAAGTCATTCTGTGTCCTTCTCTATCTGAAACAAAGAGATTATTTATTTTACAATGATCAGTGATGATTTAATCAACCTGAAAATTGTTAGATGTGATGTTTGCACGCATTATCATTTCCACTATGAGACTTACATTCTTGACACAATTCATGACACGTAGATTTCGGATTTACATAATTGGGGATCTGTTTGTTTTTATGTACAGCTTGCATAGGCAACCGGAGCACGTAATGACTTTCTTATTAGCCGAGTTGGGTACAAGCGGATCATTGGACGGACAGCAGCGTTTAGTCGTGAAAGGTCGATTCGCTCCAAAGGTGTTTGAGGGTATTCTTAGGCGCTATGTCAGTAAGTCTCTTTACCCCTGTTTGCTTTGAGGTTGACATACTGACAGTGTCGTAAACTGTGAACCTCACTATTTTTCTTATTTTTAATTTTTAATTTCTGATGATACGCCTGCACTCCTTCAGCATGTTGTTCTGCATAATGTTTTCTGGAAGAAGTCGAAAGTTTCGCAAATTCTAATAGGATGTGTTTTGGATCCTCTTGTTGCAGATGAATACGTTATGTGCAATGGTTGCAAGAGTCCGGACACTATCCTTACGAAGGAGAATCGGTTGTTCTTTCTTCGTTGTGAGCAGGTGAGTAATCACTGGTCCTGCTATTCTGTCAGTGTTGTTTTAGGCTACTCCTCATCACTCTCTGTGCTTCATCTCGAGAAAAGAGGATGACATCAGTCGCATTTCACAATCATGGTGTAATGATTCTTCTACCTCGTTTCTTTTCAGTGTGGATGCTCGCGATCGGTAGCGCCAATCAAAGCCGGTTATGTTGCAAGGGTTGGACGACGTAAGACAACGACTTAGGGCGAGGTTATTGGATTTTAGTAAGATGGAAGTTCATTTGCATGTTTGGAGGAGTTGGATGACATATAATGGTCTAGTTTCAAAATTTGCAGGCTGGTTCCTAATTCAGTTGAAGTTCAATCAGCTTATCCTGTGTACACCTTCCCTCCATTTTTCACTAGGACATAGTTTTTCGTCTCTATTCTTCTTTTGTGATGGTCCTCGGCATGAATGTTAGCCTGATTGGCTGTCCATTGCTGTGCGATTTCCTGTTAGTTTTTTCTCCGTTTTTTTAGGTATGATCAATGTGGTGCGCAATAGTGCAGTACGACAGGATCGTTGCCGTTTCGTTTAGATTATGTGGGATTGCCGTGTTATCCTGAGTGAGTTCATTACATTCGCTCTGCTTGTGTAAGAAAGTAATTTCCTTGAAGGTGTGTTCGATATATCCCTTAGCTTTTCTAGGTACGTGATTCCCCTATCTTTCTATTCCGCGTCGATTGATTAATTCGCCGTGATCACTACGCACTTTTTCTGTTTTTAACCACTGCACTGGTGGTATCATCTTTAACTCACTTTAAAAATTAGCTTCCTGTGAGACTGTTGGTGCATCATATGTGAAAATAAGTAAGTAAAAATTTGTGACTTGTTGAAATCTGTAGTTCTACATACATTACATTGGCTGTGAGAATCATTATACAGTATTCTAGATTGGGTCTAAAGGTGCATCATTACAACCTTGGAAATTATTTTGAAAGACTCCAACAATTTAAACATTTAGCTTCCAAACCTTATGTTCAAACAAATAACTTATTATCATATTTTGGTTTAAAGTATAAAATGATACTTTTATTACACTAATATAGTCACACTTTAAAATGATATTTTTCTAATATCTGTTGTCTGATGAATCTTAAGTCTATTTTAACTCAGCAACGACTTACTGAAATGCTTTTAAATATTTGCTACCCATTGATAATTCAGTTTAAGACAATCTAATGCATGCATGCATGCATATATACATATATACAAGAGAATGTTAAATAGACCTAAGCTTTTACTAAACTGACCCACCCAAGATGAAGAATATGGTGATCATGATAAATATGGTTGGTCTAGTAGCGGAGAAATGAATCTAGATGGTTAGGATGGGTGGGTAAATTTGGTAAAAGCCTAGGTCTAAGCATTATCCCATATATATATATACAATATTTTTAAGTAGATATGAGTTATTAGTACTTAATACTATCTTAACATTTTTTTAATTTTTTATATTATCTTCAAAAAAAACATTAATGTTAAGAAGATTTTATGATAAAATAAGTCTAAGTTCATAATATTTTAATTTGTAAAATCATAACTAGAAAAAATAAAATGACTTCCATTGGCAAGGCTCAAACCAAGGACCTTGTGTAGAAACAATCTTTCTTCCTACTCATACGAAATTCTCTATTTCTTAATGTTCACCTTACCAAATTTAAGAACAATTCTACAACAAATAGTTTTGCCCCTTCTTACTACCACAGAATCTTGGGGATATTAGACATGGGGCACAATCTTTTGCCTATAAGTCACGTAATATGCAATAAAATATAGAATAATATAAATTCATGAGATCTAATTCACAAATAATTCTGAAAAAACAATGAAGTAGGAGTTGCTGAGTACAATAGCCCACCATTTGGTAATTTTTACTCGCAATTCCATCTCTAAAAAACCAAGATTTAGCACGACCTACAAGCAAGCTGAAACACACGATACACGAATCCGTATCATACGACATACGAAACGGATACATACGAAGTGCGTAAATGTACGATCAGAAGCCTTCGTGGAGTGTGGTAGTGAAGGGCAGTGGACCGAAACGAAGTAACGTTAAGGCCAGTCAGTGACTCTGTGTGAGGGCGAGAGCAAGAGATACAGAGAGTTCGAGGGATTGTCCAAAACGTGATCGGGTCTTCTTCCAGGATGCAGACGCTCGCAACTCCACCACAGATTCCACTGTAGTTTGCGTGCTTTAGGGTTTTTGATTGTTGCAAGACGACGTAATTTGTCCACTTTGGAGCAGCAGAAGACGAATCGATTGCAGGTCGGCGATGGGGGAGTCGTTGGTGTTCGCGTATTACGTCACTGGCCATGGCTTAGGCCATTCAACGCGTGTCGTGGAGGTGGGAGTTTTGGGTTGATCGGGTCCTCGAGTAATTTCTCGTGTTGGAGTTGTAGGATTTTTTTTTTTTTTTTTTTTTTTTTTTTTTCTTTTCTTTTTCTTTTCCTTCTCCGTACATGTGTTTAGGAAGCTCACTCAATGAATTGATGTTGAGAGTTGGGAATTGCAGGTGGCACGACACCTTTGTCTAGCAGGGCATGAGGTCCACATTGTGACGGCCGCACCGGAGTTCGTCTTCAAACGAGATATCACGTCTCCCAAGCTTCACATTCGAAAGGTCAGGCGTGGCTTTTGGAGTTTGCTTCTTGCGGTTTTTTTTGTTGTGGATCCATGGGAATTCATTTGGGTGATTGCATTCAGGTGTTGCTGGATTGCGGGGCTGTGCAGTCGGATGCGTTGACAGTGGATTGCCAAGGCTCATTAGAACAGGTTTGAGCTTGGACATTGTTGACACTGCGTGGTATGATATGTTTTCAACGAGTGTGAGAGGCAATGCAACTTCATGCAAGTTTTTACTCTTGAAGAGGCTTCTCGGCGTGAAGTGGTGAATTATAGATATTGATTGGCGTGGTTGTCGCAGCTCTGTTTGAGCAATTGCAATGGTCGGTACTGACGCCATATTAAGGTTCATCAATTTGTAATAGTCGTTCACTGTAATCTTTCAAACCATTCAATTTTCAGTATGATTTTTGTGATCGAGACATTCGTTCAAGTTGCTGACTCTGGCAAATAACTGTGGTGTGAGGGTAGTATTCTCGAACCGCGGTGTTGAATCGTGATGCTTTATTGGCTACTGAGGTGGAGTGGCTAAAATCAGTTCAGGTCAATCTTGTGGTGAGTGGATACGTCGGAAATTCTCATGTCTGAAAGCAATAAATTATGTTTTTCAGTTGTATAATCAGAATGCCCGCAGAAACGAGCAGATTCTGAGCACGGTTTCGTTCGAACTTTTTCTGTTTGGGCTAAAATCTTTGAATTAGATAAACTCTTCAGAGTTTTTTCTGTTCATTCTTGTGTTTGTGTTTGCGCCCAGGCGACGGACATTGTTCCAATTGCATGTAAAGCAGCTGCAGAAGCGGGCATTCCATCTGTCTGTGTTTCCAACTTCAGGTAAATGTATGGTTCATTTTGTATCCTATCTTGTGCTCTTGCCATGCGCTCTGTCTAGTGGGATGCAGACTGGTTGAACTCGTCGTCATAAGAAAGATACTCTTTTATTGTGATAAACATACAGCAGGGTTTTCAGTTTGGAATGAAGAGATCCTTCAAGAAGTGCAAAATTGATACGGTGTAGACACAATTGCATCTTCCATCACCTTATGACATGGAATTTGGAACAGCTGGGACTTTATCTACTCAGAGTATGTTACTGTAGCTGGAAAACATCATCAATCTGTTGTTTGGCAGGTTTGAAGCCATCTCTCACCGCATGTTGTAGGAAAAGTATATCTGGAGTGCATGATCTCTTGTGACTGACCATGAAATGTGACCACCGGTTTTTTGATTAAAGTAAACTAGTGCTTAGCAATTATTTATAGAATCTTTGAAGCAGCGATGTGCCCTACTCCAAGTCCTTCAATCGCTGTTATTACCTAGGTGAAATTTTACGTGCAATGCATCATGTGTCTTTTATCCAACTTCAGCTAGTACTATGTGAATTTAGTCCGTGACCCACCTACTTTTTCCATTGCAGATTGCTGAGGATTACTCACATTCTCTCTTTTTGATTCGTCTGCCTGGGTACTGTCCGAGTAAGTTTTACATACTCGATTATGAGAGATGGAGATACATTCAAGAGTAATATAGTCAACATTATTTAGCTGAGATTATATGACATAATCTAACTTGATATTGAAATTGTGAACGATACAGTGCCGGCATTTCGAGATGTGATTGATGTGCCCCTAGTTGTGCGAAGTGTGCGTCGAAGTCGAGAACAGGTACCACTAGCTTCTTTTCTGAAAGAATACTGGATCTCGTGATTTTTTTGTGGGACATGTATTTTTTAATCTAAGAAGATAAGAAGGTAGAGTGAGGCAGTGAAGCAGGTTCGAGCTTGAATTCTGGATATCCGTTTTTTCAAATGATTTATTGAAGTAGCTAGTTTTTTGTTGAGATAGGTTCGTAAGGATTTCGGAGTCAGCGAAGATGTGAAGGTGCTTCTGTTCAACTTCGGTGGTCAGGTGGTCCTCTCGAACAAATCCACCTGCTGCAACTTGACGTTTACATTAAGGAATGTTTTATCGGACATATGGACTATCGTTTGGCTTCTGAAATCCTCGCATGCATCATCACCTCTATTTTGTGCTAGAAACGCCTCTAGGAAGAGCAGAAGGGGATGAACAAGTTTATTGACTTAATTTGTATCACATTTGATTTTACACATGAATGGGAACAGGATGCAAGGTGGTCCCTCAAAGACCAGTATCTGCCTCCAGGCTGGCTATGTTAGGTATGCCATATCTTCACGTAAAGTGCAGTTACATTAATTATCATCTTAACCCTCAATCACAACAAATGATCTCATTCAAACTTCAACTTATTAGGAAACACAGGTCCAGAATATACGAATGTTAAAGCAGTTGTACTGCGTGGCAATTGAGAGGATTTGTTAATGTGGAGCTGTCTATGATGGCGTGTTGAAAGGAAGGTCTGTGGTGCACCGGCAGAGCAAGAGCTGGGCTCCAACTTCACGCGCTTGGATCGTGATATTTATGTCCCCGATCTTATTGGAGCTAGTGACTGTATGTTAGGTATGCTTTCTCTGTGTACAGTTCCTTCGATATTATGCCCCTAGAGCCAGTTTTGGTTCGTATGTCTTGTTGCGCCAAAAACTTACGGCAACGTAACTAACTCAAAGCTGTGGTTGTTCCAGGCAAGATTGGTTATGGAACAGTCAGTGAGACGCTGGCTTGTAAGGTACCTCTTGTATTCGTACGACGAGATCATTTCAATGAGGAGCCATTCTTAAGAAAGATGCTTGAGGTACACTTCCTTGCATATTTGAATGACGTAGAACGTTCATTTGACCGGATTATATAAATGTTAAATATAATTTTGCACCATCTTTCAAGGAGGTACATGAATTTATTATGTCTGTCACACACACACACATATATATATATTTTTTTTTTGGTGTCCTATGCAGTTCTATCGCGGAGGTGTGGAGATGAATAGACGCGATTTTCTGAGTGGACGTTGGGTGGCATATCTTGAGCGTGCACTGATCATCAAGCCTTGCTTCAACGGTTCTATTAATGGAGGAAAGGTATGGATACTTTTGTGAAGTCTGGTATGTAATGTTTCATTGATGGGAATTTTATTTTGATCTGTAGATGTCGAAGGATCCTGACATAAAACATGATTGGACTAGGTTGCTGCAACACTTCTGGAAGATGCCGCACGAGGGAAAGCGGATACCATCAAACCGGTTAGCCCCTCGCTGGGTACATTTGACATGCAAAGGACATTCAACTGGCACTTAATCGACATAAGCTTGTCATTTACAAGTAGATTATCATTTAAAGTTCTTGCAATGACCTACCAATGGATTGATTGCTACATGTGATCAAGACCCTATGCAGACATTTAACCCATAGCAGCTGCTTTAACATCACAATTCGAATTCATCAAAAATTATGCGATGTGTCTCATGTGTGCATCGTGAAATGAATCAACGCAGCAAAGTGGAGCTCGGCGCTTGAGGGATGCGATTGTCTTTGGATTTCAGCTCCAGCGGCATCCTGGGCGAGAAGTTGATATACCAGATTGGTATGGACCAAATGAGACTAGATTGGGCCTTTTGCCGGCCAAAAAATCCGTTGACACCGTGACCCTTGGTATTCAGGGTGCTCCTCCTCCTCCTGAGTTGTAAGTGTATCAAGCGCATGCGAATGCTCTACAAAATTCGTACCTGAGAAAGTCTTAAGATGTTTTGTATTCGAACATCACATGATGTATTTAACCCAAATGAACTGAAAAAATAACTCGTAACTTTTAAAAGAGTTTGGTTTCATGCAGACGAGTGGATGACTTTGAAGTACTTGAGGGAGATGTACATGGGCTTCCAGATACGTTGCAATTTCTTCGCACTTTGGCTCACCTAGATGAGGAAGGTGATGTGCGAGCTAGTGATCTTGCTGACATGCCTCAACTACGGGAACGTTTGGCAGCAGGAGGCCTATTTCGTTGGGAGGTACAGCTACACAATTGTGTTGAAGTGACATTATTCTCAAGCATGCACGATTTTCCTCATAAATGGTCGAGTAGATTTTAGATCGGAAGATACGTGTTCATCGTACATTGTCTAACAATCATTTGTTTAAGTTTTTCCAATTTGTAAAGTAACACTTTGAACTTTGATTGGGCAATGAAACATTAACTTTTTTGTCTAATGCGTCGCAAGGAGTTGACCATGTTCTGCCACGCAGGAAGACTTATTTGTTGCTAGAGCTCCTGGACGCCTGGACGTCATGGGAGGAATTGCAGATTACTCTGGTAGCTTGGTTCTGCAGGCAATGTCTTTTTCACAAACTTGGCAATACTTTTTCATAAGACATCAACATATCCATATCTAGAGGATCCATTGTATCTTGTGGAATGACTCTTTTAAGCTGTGATGCTATGGAGTGAGTTGTGGCTGATAAGAGTTGTTGATATAATGCAGATGCCTATAAAAGAAGCATGTCATGTAGCTGTTCAGAGAAGCCCTCCCACTCAACAGAGATTGTGGAAGCATATTAAGACACGAGTATCGGCCCAAGGTGCAGCTGCAAAGCCTGTACTTTGTATTGTAAGCGACCATCCAGTATTTCCGCAGCCACTTACCTCTTGGTAGCTGATAAGTACGTCTTGTTGGCTCGGTCTTTGTTAACCTATTGTTCATTCTATGATTTGACCTTCCTTTTTAAACCCATTTATCACAGGTGTCATTTGGATCTGACACGGTCAATCGGGCACCTACTTTTGACATGGATTTGTCTGACTTTATGGACTCGAATGGTGGCCCTATATCCTACGAAGCTGCACGTCAGTATTTCGAGCAAGATCTTTCGCAAAAGTAAGTTGGCAAAAATGTACTTCCTTAAAAGCATTTTTGGATAAGTAGTGCTGGATTAGATGGGCTTTAATTTAATGCTAGTATAATCTCTGATGGTATGTGGTGGCTATGACTGAAATGCTTGCTAATTGTCTATGACATGTCTCATTCTCAGCTAACTCGTAGACAAACTTCGTATTTCAATGTTCATGAAACTGTTTCTCTAAACATAAAATTTTAAATTTTAAAAAAAAAGGTCCTTTGGAGGCGAAGTGTTAAGATCTTGTTTCCTTACAAAACTGGCATTTGGACAGGTGGGCTGCGTATGTGGCAGGAACTATTTTGGTTCTGATGCGTGAGCTTGGCATAAGCTTCCACGATAGCATTAGCATACTTGTATTGCCCACACCTGACGTTGAAGATTTTTAGGATCGTTTGGAACGTTTCTAATTATTCAGAATCGGTTTCAGCTGGTGCCTTATTTTCATTCTTTTGCGTGACCTGTTTGGAGCTGCATATTTCCTGCTCTTAAGTTTTTCTTATTTGAGATGAGCTGGATTTTTACCAGGTATCATCAGATGTGCCTGAAGGTAAGGGATTATCTTCATCAGCCGCTCTCGAAGTAGCTACTATGAGTGCGATTGCTGCTGCTTATGGTAAAGTTTTATACCACACTAACATGAACACATTATGATTCCTCGGCATCAATCTCTAGTTGCTTGTTTACATATATCACTTGTGTATTTAGTAAGGTAACTATTGATCTGCGGGAAGCTTGCAATATACATGGGTTGAATTTTCTGTCCTCTTTTTGGGTAACTAAATCTATAATCTTGAATATAAGAGTTTGTGAGGATCGATGTACTGAGCACAGAAGTTAATGCTGGGGTTAAGATTTGCATCATCCTGATTCAGTTCACTGAATTCTGAGCTCCTCAGTTTGTTTTTGTGTGGCGCTCTAACGTGGCACTCGCCTGATGCAGATTCAAGAAAATAATTTTCTTGAAGTATTTCTGTCTGAGACCAGTATTACATGATTATATTTTCGCATAATTGAGTTCAACGTGAATCATTTATGAATGTGTAGGATTGAAGATTAATTCAAGAGATCTTGCTTTTCTTTGCCAAAAGGTCTTACATTTACTTGTGAAGAGTTCTTCCATCATGTTAGGCTTTTGAATGTTCATAATGGTCAACCTCAATTCTTTGCTGAAATTCAGGAGAGCTCGTGATAGAAGAAATTCTGCATTTACCATGTCTCATTCCATTTCATGCAGAAACTGTCAGTGGCCTTCTTAAGCAGTTTCTTTTCTATCTTATCATCACTATATTTTTCTGCTTGTTTGATGCTGATCTTGAATGCTTATGAAAAAGTTCTAAACGGCTGGAGCAGGTTGAAAATCATGTGGTTGGAGCTCCGTGTGGAGTGATGGATCAAATGGCATCAGCTTGTGGAGAAGCAAACAAACTATTGGCAATGGTTTGCCAGGTTTGTCAATCATTTAGTGTTTTCAATGATCTTCAAAGATCTTAGTTCATAATTTCGCTTCTGTTGTCATTCATGTCTACCAGTGATTATAATAACATAAGAAGCTTATTTCAGCAAGTATGTCTCACTTGTATCGTGAATTGCTGTGGTTGCAGCCAGCAGAAGTTAAGGGGCATGTAAATATCCCATTGCATATTCAGATTTGGGGTATTGATTCAGGCATTCGACACAGGTTTGTACTGAGCACAGGAAATGAACCTTGGAATACATTTGTTTAGCTGATGTTTTGTGACGTTCATAATATGTGTGGTATAATGGCAGTGTTCGGGTATTCAGTGTTGGTGGCGCAGATTATGGGTCAGTGCGAGTAGGAGCATTTATGGGTCGCCGGATCATTCAAAGAACCGCCTCTAAGCAATGCGAAGGCTTAAAAGCTTTGAGCACAGCAGCTGAGGAGTTCGAGGATCCTGAATTCGCTATGTCAGAGCGAGATTCGAAGGAGCAATATTTATGCAATATTCCTCCCCACAGGTACGGAAGTTGAAGTACTTCGTATCAAACAGTGTTCGTAACTTTTCTCCTAGACGATTATATATGACCTTCATTTGTTGTTTAAGATTTCAATTTTTGACTTGATTGTTTACTTCACTGTCCAATGAGCTTTGTGATAAATAAATACCTTTCAGGCCAACAATTTGATTTATGTTGTACTATTTTGGTGGTACTAGATTGACATCCGTTTTGCAATTGATGACCTCTCAGTATTGAATGAATCTAATGTTGTATCATTCTGATGTCTGAGTTTGTCTGTTAGAAGTTGCTTCATAAGTCGTAATCTAATGACTGTTTGACAGGCTTGAAGGGGAATATGCAAATGTGCTCCCTGTGCAAATAAGAGGAGACATCTTTGTAGACACCTATGGAAGTCACAACGATCCCGTCACTAAAATTGATCCTAGTCAGATGTATGCTGTGAAGGCACCAACAGCTCATCCGATTTATGAGGATTTCAGAGTGAAGGTGCTGTATTAAACCCTAGTATGCATAAATTCTTTTACTTCTATTCACTCTTTATATATGGACTTTGGTCGTCAAGTGTTGAGATAATACTTGGTAGTAAATCATCACTGTTTCTACATTAACATCAGTTGTTTCATGTCAAGGCTTTGTGTTTAGTTAAAACTTCTCTTGTTGCCGCAGTCTTTTGCTGTGGCACTGACGGCCGCAGACAGCGATGCCCAGCTGGAATATTTAGGAGAGCTGATGTTTCAGGTATGTAATCCTTTCATCTATGGTAATTGTAATCTCCAGGTCATTGTATTTGTGCAGAAATTTAGATTACTTTAACTTTCGGATCAAATAACCGTGCTCGCTTTCAGTGCCATCATTCGATTTTCCATGAAACTCATAGCCTTAAACATATTTCCTGGTACACCGCAGTCTCATTACAGCTATTCGAAGTGTGGCTTGGGTTCTCACGGCACCGATCGTCTCGTAGCACTTGTAAAGCATACGAAGCAGAAAGCTCAGTTTGATGGTGCCTCACTCTTTGGAGCAAAAATCACAGGCGGTGGTTGCGGAGGAACCGTGTGTGTGCTGGGCCGTGCAGGCGTTAGAAGTAGCGACCAAATTATGAAGGTACGTGATTAGTTTTTGCTTGGAACGAACTTCGGGTTTTATCTGTCCTCCCTTTACGCAATGTTTTGAAAGTTTTCGTGACAACGAATTTTCCCAGATTTTGTAGGGAGAACTAGGGTAGCTGTGACCCAAGATCTTTTATAGATCCAGTTGAGCTTTTAGGAACGCAATTTGCAAATCTGGAACTTTACATATTTGTTCGTTTGGATGTTGCATATTTTGGTTTGCCCGCTGATGTTTTTGATATTATGATCCTTACTTACCAAGATAAAAGAGTTTTTTTCACTATTTAAGGTGCAGTTTTGTGTGGTTACTGTTCCCTGTAGATTCAAGAGAGCTACAAAGCTGCAACAGGTCATCACCCATATATTTTCGAAGGATCATCCATGGGGGCAGGACAATTTGGGTTCCTTCGCGTTCATCGAAGGAATAAGTGCTGACCACTTTTAGAATGTTCAAGGAGTCTATTCAAGCATCGTTTGTCAAACTCAAGGAGCAGACAATGAATTTCCTTTTTCTGTTCACAAGTCGAGGATTTCACATTATGATAAACGTGTCGCTCAGAATGACGATGCACTTATATAATTGACCTTGATTTATATTTTCACAAATATATCTTTGGATAAAAACCATGTCCGGAATTATGTGTGAAATGATTTGAATCCCACATGTTCTCTGTTATCCGTTGGCATTCTTAATCAACTCCTGTAGACATCCTTGTGTTAGCAGCAACGTATCTTTAGATTCTATTTTGGAATCAATCAGATTTCGAATGGAACAAATGATTCTCTGAAGCCAATAACTGCCTTCATATATGAGAGTAGTGTTACAGTTTTGATTCTTTTTACTTTACTTCAGTTTTAAAATGTTTCTTCTAACTATTCTATTCCAATTATTGTAGAATGTTTTGCCATACTCTTTCTATTAAGAATAATGTGACGTGGTACTGCTTTTTTCAGCTTTACACTACGTATGTTTAAACATACTTGCTTTTTCAACATTTTGAATCATTTGTTTATTTTATTTTTAAAGTAGTTACTTGGTTTGCTTCATTTTGATATGAAACTGTACAAGTTGAAGTGGATTATCATTCTTAACTGCCACCATATTATTTTACATTTTTATCATTAAGGTATACAAGCAAAAACAAGCAGCTCTCTACCACATTTTTTTCCTAAGAAAACAGAATTGCTTCAAACTTGATAAAATATTGTCTCAAGTAACTATTTACATAGCTTATGTTTGTTGAATATTTGCAAATTTTGCCCAATTGAAATTATTTTCAGTTGTCAACCTCTTCCATTGCATATGAAGTGAGCACATGTTTACTGGAGGAAGGAAGAGTTCGCAACTTCATAAGCTTGCAATTGGTTGAAATTGAGAAGTTTCTGTTTCTTTTTCTTTCTGTCTATATTTAGAACATGTGCTAAAAAATGAATAAAAGTAAAGAAAGAACGGACTTTTTCCTATATGGCATAAATACTATTGCCTCTTTGAATTTGTATTGAGTCCATGTTAAAATGTGTTTTTTACAAAAATTTTAAAAAATATTTTAAAAAAACTAAAGATGCCATATACATATGTAATAAAAATGCTAGAATTAAGATATAAACTGAAAATTTGAAAATCATTTTAACAACCTTATTTCACTCACAGTTATCTCCAAGAGCTTAAACTTCCTTAAAAATAATAATAATAATAATAATAATAAATAACATTTTTTTTCTGTAGTAAGAGAGATCTTCATGAAACTTTTGGATCTCAGATTTTTAAAGTGGGCTTCTGAATATGTTAATCTATGATTGCAAGTTGCATATCATGCCACTGAAGCAAAATGTGGTTACAACAACGAATGAGAATTTTCACAGTCGGTAAAGAATCAGTGCCTCATATTACTTTAACACATGCACGGGTATGGGTACTTCGTGTGGGTGGATGGGCGTTGTTGACCAAAGCCCAGGAAGAGGGAAGGGGAGGACGAGGATCGAAGCCCGCAGAAGCACCTCTCATACCCGAGGCCCTACAGATAACTACCCTCCAGAGGCATCAGAATATAGTACAAACCCACTCTCTGATCATATCTCTGCGGAATCTAGATACCTATTCGTTCCTACCCGAAACCCCCTTCCATATCACCCTTAATGGTACACTCCTTGTCATCTTCGTTTTCAAGCTCAGTAGAGGTTAGTATCTGTAAGATATTATGTAGCGATTATCTTATATTGAGGCCTATCTACCACCGGGCATCAGGAACGAATATCTAGGAAATGGGGCGACGCTTGTGCTTTTTTTGCACTTAGGCGGAGGCTGCTGGTTGCAATATTGTAAAGGGGGGGCGGAGGTTGGAGGCAGAGTGCGGCGAGGACACAGTTGGTTGTTGGTGGTTTGTCTTGGTGGTGTGGAGCTCGCTCTACTGGAAGTTGCGTACGTATTTTAGGGATCGTTGTGTGTGTGTGTGTGTGTGTGTGTGTGCAGTGCGAGGTGTTCTCTGTGTTCGCTGGCGGAGGAGAACAGCGGAGTTGAAGCGGAGTCTTACATTTTTGCGATTTTCTTCTTCCTCCCATCTTTGAGTGTGGAACGAAAATTTTGTTTCTGAGAGGCGGTGTTGAGGGAAAGTAGAGAGGCAGGCGGGGGCAGGGAGGGAGGGGAGGGGACGATGGCCGGGCAGGCGGCTCTGATGGCCAGCGCCAGTGTGAGGAACTCCGCGCCTCTCGCGTGCTCACCATCCGGCTTGTATAAGCTCGGCGTCGATTCGGACGCTTCCAGGTGTGGAGAATGATGATGAATTGTGGTTTTTTCTTATGTAGAGCCGGTGGAGGTATTTGTGTTGACACATTGCTAATCGTGTATTGTCACGAAGTTGTAGTTGTTGCGATTGTAGATAGGAGATAAGAATTGGCGTCTGGAGAGAGTTTTCAGTTCCTTGGATTAGTTTCAGTTTTCGGATGGAAAAGTGTTTGCCACTTGTCTCGGGTTTTTAATTTTTATACTAGTGAACTGGGAAGAATGATTGAAAGAGAGCTAGTTAGTTGAATTCAAATCAAATTATCTGTTCATTTTTATTTTTTTCGTTTATTTGTTTCTGTCCTCTGAGTTGCCCAACGCTTCTGTTTGATCTCCACTGCAGGCTTTGTCGCGTAGTCACGCGGAGATCATCAAAGAAATTGTCGAAGTCTGTGAAGGGTAGAAGAAAAATTATTGCAGCTGTAGAAAACCATTCTCCTAAAAATGATGGGGGCAGGAGGCAGGTCAAACTGCAGGCAGTTGCTTCTGACACTCCAAGGGTATTTATCGCGAAAGTTCTTTTTAACAACAGTTTGTGTCTTGTGTACATATTGTGATTGATTCTCGAATATGCTGTCCTGAGACAACTGCTTCCCGCATTTAATTTCTGATTATCATGGGCGTCTTACCTGACATGCTTCTGTGGAGATGTTCCGACGAGGGTCGAGGATTTATGAGTTTTAGCTTTGCTTGGTTGAACTAGATTTGTCGCATTTGTTCCTCGCTATTATAGGTTTTTTCTGTCTTTGAGAAGTTTTATCAGTATTTTTTACGATCTTCCTTATGCTTATAGTCCATTCCCTTGCGCAGTGAGTTGTGAGGTGGTGTTCTGTCAAATTAACGTCCTTGGTGTTTGGAGAGCATTGACGCATTTAGTGACTTGTTGCTCAGGGTTTAGGGTTTAAGAGCCTCAGGGTCTTTTTTCTGCATCTCTTAGCTTCTTTTTGTTATCGTACGTAGATGGAGCTGCGCGCGCTATTCAAATTCTTAATGGTAGAAGCATATTGCATATCAACGGTTGGTTGATTACGCTACATATTAGTAGTGAGAAAGTATGGGGTGAAGCCTCAACAGGTTTAAGCGAAGCCAAATACTCGTTGTGTGGACGCGGAGCTTGAGATTTTACTATCCAGCGCTTAGTGGTTGAAGATATACGTGTTAGAATCTGCAATTGCCAAAGAATAAGTGTGTTTGGGCACGATTTTTTAATTTTCATCCACGTTTATCGAGCAGAAACATTATGGTGGCTCGGGAATTGTTATTTTTGCCTGTTAGGGTTCCTCTACTTGGTTAATAGCCAATGAATATTTTTATTTTTATTTAAAATTTTTCTTCTCTCCTCTAAACCTACTGTCTTACTCAGTATTGTTCACTGACATGGAGATATTGTATGCCTCTGGCATGTAGGTTGCCGCAGTGACCGAGCAGGAAGCGGAGGTTTATCATATTTATCGAACTCCGTTTTTGCAAGAGAATGCCACCACAGCCCTTCTCAAGCTGGTCTACAATCTTTTCCTTTCCTATTGGATCATTCGTATGGAAGTGTTCTGGTCATTCGCTGTACAAGTGCTTCTGCAGTTTTTGAGCACCAATAAACTTATTTTCCAGCTTGCTGTGGATTTTGCAGGTTCAAGAGAAGGTTTCTGCTGACATCATCAGCATAAAGACTGAACAAGTAAATCCATTGGCTTACATGAAATTGATTTTGATTTGTCATGGACATGTGAAGTGTGAAGAAGACAATTTTATCAGCTCACATAAAAAATAAACATGTTTATATATTGTCATAATTATATTTTGAACCTTTGGCTTGCAGTGCTACAACGTCGCATTGAGTGCACCACTTTCTGCGGAGAAGTGGGAGGTATTACAATGGCTGCTACGGGAGACGTATGAGCCTGAAAATCTTCAATCTTCAAGCAACTTACAAAGTGAACGAGGAGTAGGTTCGTAAATGACAGCTATCATTTACATCAGTAAAATGAAAAATAACTCTTTCAACAATATTTGTTAATGATCTTGTGTTTCTTTTATATCCCAGATGAATGATTGCTATCTTTTGAAATCCAGAACTGAAGTGAACTAGTCTTGTGGGTTTCAGTTGTGGAAGTAGGCCCTCGTCTTTCGTTCACCACTGCATGGTCAGCCAATGCAGTGTCAGTCTGCTCTGCATGTGCTTTACCTGAAGTGACTCGGATCGAACGATCTCGTCGTTACCAGCTCTCTGTTGGTCCAGGAGCGTCGCCCTTAGAGCAAAGTCAGCTGGATGCATTTGCTGCACTGGTAAGCAGTCTTTCGTTGCTCTTGATGTGTCTACTTTGGTCGTGCACACTGTGATTCTTGTGTATGTCAATTGTAGTTGTGAGAGTGTTTGGAACCTGCAATTGATACTGATCAGTTCTGATGTTTTTAGGCCAAGTAGCTGTAGGTGTCGAGTAGAGCTTGCCTTAATGACAAATTCTACAGTTGTCGTAGATGTTGTGTGTGGTAATAAAATTGCTTTGCTGCAGGTGCATGACCGGATGACTGAATGCGTATACCCTACGAAACTTATGTCATTCAAGAATGACGTAATCCCGGAGCCCTTTATCCAGATTCCTGTCATGGAGGTACAGAAAGTTATTTTGTTGTGTGAACTGATCCCACTGTTATACTTTTACAACTTTCATAAGTTCTGCTATGCTGATGGCTGGTGTAACCGGCACGTGACACAATCATTTCTTTTTGAATTTCAGGAAGGGAGAGCAGCTCTGGAAGCTATCAACAAAACCATGGGACTTGCTTTTGATGAATTTGATCTGGAGGTAAATCTTTTGGTCATCCGTATTCACCATTGCGAGATATTTATTGTGCATTTTATGAATGAGACTGTATTGTTTTTGCAAGAGGGTACTTATTTGTTTCAATAGCTCACCCCGAACTTTTTGTTTTTAGAGATATATTCTAAAGAACTTGCCAGTTAATTTGTTCCATTTTGGTGCCAACAAGAAGAGTTCTTAAGCATGAGAAAATGATCTTTGTTATGTACTTATAAATGCAGTATTATACGGAGCTCTTTGCCAAAGATATCAAGCGTAACCCCACAAACGTGGAGCTTTTCGACATTGCTCAGTCTAACAGTGAGCACAGTCGTCATTGGTTTTTCAATGTAAGTCGCTCAGTTGAAAGTTAGGGAGTTTTGGGTGTAAATGTCACTATGATGTTTACTATCTCTAAGTTCCTACAATAACATGATGTTACTCTTACTTCGTTCTTTGCTTCTGTTGTAGATCTTATATCTTAGCTTGTCTATATTTTTTCAGCCATTCTACTCAAATCTTTTATTGGTTTTTTGGTAGGTATGTAGTTTCTGGTGCGTAAGCATATAATAACACACACACACACACACACACGCACGCACGTACACATTGAAGCTCTTGATAATTTTTTCTTGTGTTTCTCTTATACATACCCTGTCCTGCTCGTCACAGGGTGAATTGACAATTGATGGAAAGCCCGTCTCCGATACCCTCTTCAGTCTTGTTAAAGATACGTGGAGAGCCAACAAAAACAATTCTGTGATTGGTTTTAAAGATAATTCCAGGTGGGTCACTTTTGTACTTTGTATTAGTCGTAACGTAATTCAAGAGTTCGCCATCGATCATAATTTATTTCATATTTGTAGGTTTGCTTGGCTGTTCTTTCTCCTGAAGCATATTCTGAAGTCAATGGCACTGATGGTTTATTGTTTTTTGCCAGCGCTATTCGAGGTGCAGCAGTCAAACCTGTGCTACCAGTGACTCCAGGCTCACCCTCTCCTGTGGATGCCCTGGATCGCGATTTCGATGTTCTTTTCACCGCTGAAACGCACAATTTCCCTTGTGCAGTAAGTTCAAATTTATGTTTGTCTGTGCTTGTAGGATGGTCTCACGTGTGGTTGAAAATGTAGCGTTGTACAACCAGGTTAATGTCCGTACGAGAGGGATGGACATATTTGCCCAGTTTGCATAACAAACAAAGAGTACTATTAAGAACGTGTATAGAAGTCACTTAACACTTGAGATTATATTCTCCTTATAGATAATTTCTCATAAGCACATGTACTGCTTTCAATGTATGTGAATGTTTTTGTGTGATGTTTTGTATCCTCAATGTCTTGTTCTGTCTGAATACGCAGGTTGCGCCATTTCCTGGTGCTGAAACTGGGGCTGGAGGTCGCATTCGTGATACTCATGCTACAGGAATTGGATCTCTAATCGGTGCAGCCACTGCAGGATATTGTGTTGGAAATCTTCAGGTGTGTCCTGCTTGTTACATTTTATTGTATTTTATTTTTCTTTTTCTTGGTGTGCGTTTGGTTTAGTTTCAGTTCGAACTATTGTACTGATGTCATTCTCTTCGAAATTCCTTTGTAGATGGAAGGATCTTATGCTCCTTGGGAAGACAGTTCCTTCGTTTATCCACCAAATCTTGCATCCCCTCTTCAGGTATACGTCTGCACATCAGAATTTTTACTTAGTTATAGTTACTCTAATGTGCAGATAACTCCGTTTAGGTTAAGTCTGATTATGGCTGATACAATCTTCTTTGTTCTATAGTCTTACTGGATGAGAACCTGTAACGGAATTGCAGATTCTTATCGATGCTAGCAATGGAGCATCTGATTATGGAAACAAATTTGGCGAGCCCCTTATTCAGGTGAGTTCCATGTTTTAAAAGGAAATATACTGGTTGTAATGTAATACTCCAATCATATTGTTCTATCATCCTCATCAGAAGTACCAATCTATTTTGATGTTTTTGCTGACCTGTGTTTTCTGTGTTAGGGATACACTCGAACCTTTGGCATGCGGTTGCCTAGTGGTGAACGAAGGGAATGGCTGAAACCAATCATGTTCAGTGCTGGTATTGGCCAGGTATTTCCCAAATAAACAAGGTTTTTGAGTTGGATGAGCCATTAATGTTTTAAAATTTAAAGCTATGATTTTGAGGCTGTTCTTGCATCCACAACCAATATATTTCTTGGTAAGTGCGCTTATGGAAACATATCTAATCTGCATACGATGTTGGATACAGATAGACCACCGACACTTGGAAAAAGAGGATCCTGAGATTGGCATGCTTGTTGTGAAAGTAAGTTACTGCAAGCTACCCCTAGATTACAAGCTGAGCGTTTGCACCGGCAATGTTTTATTACGGTTTTTGTTTTAATTCTGATTTGGATGTGGAATATGTTGGTATGCAGATTGGTGGGCCAGCTTACCGCATTGGTATGGGTGGTGGTGCTGCTTCGAGCATGGTTAGTTCCTTTTACGTGAATGTTTTGGACTTTTACTTCTGCAAAACACTTCTGTATAACTCATCAGTTCTTGAGTGTTGTCATGGTTAATTTTATTAGGTTTGAATACAGTCTTAGTGTTTCATGAATTACATGATTAATTTGGATTTAGGAAGTTTGCTGTGAATCTAGGACCCACTTAAAGTGTGGGTGTTTGTGTGTTAATTTATTGATTCTACATCAGTAGACGTGCATGAGACCGAACCTCCTCATTAACCTGTTAGCATCATGCTTGCTGTCTCTCAGGTCAGTGGGCAGAATACAGCTGAACTGGACTTTAACGCAGTCCAGCGAGGTGATGCAGAGATGTCGCAGAAGTTGTACAGAGCTGTTCGCACTTGTGTTGAAATGGGAGACGACAATCCGATTGTTAGCATTCATGATCAGGGTGCTGGTGGCAATTGTAACGTCGTGAAGGAGATCATCTATCCCAAGGTATTCCTTTTTGATTTACTCATCATGTATCTTGTTGATGGTCATATGCTTATGGGCGTAAAATCTACCTTACTGCCCTGAATCGAAAGGCCGAACATTAATTTTGTGAGGACTTGATTCTGTTCTTTATGATCATTTTAGTAAGCTGACTGACTTTCAACTACCTCTGGTTGTAATCCTTACAGGGTGCGGAAATTGATGTAAGGTCAATTGTAGTGGGAGATGAAACTATGTCTGTGCTGGAGATTTGGGGTGCAGAATATCAGGAACAGGTAAACGCTGGATTGAATTTGTGGGTACTGGGAAATTTTTACGTGAGCTTCAATGATATTGTCGTTGATCTTGCTGTGTGTCTACCTGGATGGTGATTTAGGAAAGGTATGTTATATATATATATATATATATGTGTGTGTACGGTATTGATTTGTCTGAATTTTTAGGCTCGTTTGTTATCATGCCTAACATGTCTTGTCTACAGGATGCATTGCTGATTAGACCAGAGAGCGAAGCACTTTTGCGGTCAATTTGTGCCCGGGAACGTGTTTCTATGGCTGTAATCGGCACAATCAGGTATGATTTAAACATTGAACATTTCTGGTATCTGATGATAGTGTTAACTGAACACATTAGCTCCATATACTGAGTGCAACCTAACTTAGCTTGAAGCTGCTCAACAAATTTTGTCTACAAGAAACATTGTAACATGTTGCGAGTCCATGGGTACTCATTATTTGTATTTGTATTTGTATTTGTATTTTTTTTTTGACATAAATGGTTTTTCTCTGTTCCTGCTAATTGGGTTTGTTGTTTTTCATCGTAGTTTAGATAGATTTGCACCAGTGCTTGCGCTTTCTATTTGTCTGTCATCTTCTAGCCCGACAGAGGATGACGCCTACGTTAAGCACTGAAACAATGAATTTGGCTGTATGCAGTGGCGACGGAAGAATTGTGCTCTCAGACAGTGCGTTGAAGAAAGAGGCAGAAGCTAAGGGACTTCCACCTCCAATGCCAGCTGTCGACCTTGACCTTGAAAAGGTGACGATTACTTGTAGTAATTCGACATCGTAAAGCCAACTGAACTATCGGATCTGACAGTCTTGTTAACGAATTTCAAATCGCAACAAATTTTAGAATGATCTTTATCTGTGGATCTTCACATTCTATTAGTTTTACGTAACATGTTGATTCTGGTTTTTTGTTTTTGTTTTTATTTATTTTTATTTATTTTTATTGTTCAATTACACTGCCGCGACCAAAGTCCTTCTTAAGTTTTGAGAATGAATGTAATGTGATTTTACCAGGTACTTGGAGACATGCCAAGGAAGAGTTATAACTTTACTAGAATGCCAGAGCCTGCTGAACCTCTTGACATTGCACCTGGTCAGACAGTCATGGAGGCCCTGAAGCGTGTGCTTCATTTGCCTTCAGTCTGCTCCAAGCGATTCCTTACGACTAAGGTAAGCTCGTGGTTGTTTCTACCTTACGATTAGGGTAGCTCGTAGTTGTTTCCACAATTTCGCTGTCGTGCTGTATCTAACCTGCTGCCAAGTACTTTGTCCTTAGTCTACACTAGTATTTGTGTTCATCATGTTCTTTGAAATTCAGTCTACTTACTAAGCAACTGCGTCATGTCTGGTGCAGGTGGACAGGTGTGTGACAGGACTTGTGGCACAGCAACAGACAGTGGGACCTTTGCAGATTCCTCTAGCTGACGTTGCCGTTCTTGCCCAGGTGTGCACATATACCATCAGTTTTTCATATGGAACATGGGGAAACAGAGATAGTTTCCACTGAACTTTTTGAATATTCAATAGTATTAGAAACAGTTCAAATGTGTTGATTTCTTGAACTATGAAGGTTGAATTCTAAATTTAGTTTCGATATTTTCCTTTTAGACACATACGGGAATCACTGGTGGTGCATGTGCGATTGGAGAGCAACCCATTAAGGTATGCTGCATAATCTGCGTGCTTTGCGCTCAGCATTTATTCGTGTCACTAAATGATTTCGACATTCTTTCTAGAGACTGTGGACACCGACGTTTTTACTGTAACCACTTCGATTCGCTTTTTACCTAAAGTCGATTTCTCACTGCGCGTTTATCTCCACAGGGCCTTTTGGATCCCAAGGCTATGGCACGACTTTCTCTTGGAGAAGCATTGACTAACCTTGTCTGGGCTAAGGTAAGTTGTGTCGCATGGTTGTATCCATTAGTGTCTCCTCACTGTAGGGGTATCCATGCCCCTACTGCCTTGGTCGTGCTGGTCTATTTTTCATTTTGACATACATTTGCTTGCCAATGTTGGTGAAGTCGAGCGTTGATGTGAATGCTTGTGCGTGTACAGGCAACTGCTCTGAAAGATGTGAAGGCCAGTGGGAACTGGATGTACGCCGCTAAGTTAGACGGTGAAGGAGCTGCTATGTATGATGCTGCCGTTGCTCTGAAGGAGGCAATGATTGAACTGGAAGTTGCCATCGATGGTGGAAAAGACAGTTTGTCTATGGCCGCGCAAGCAGGAGGTGAAACTGTGAAATGCCCGGGCAATCTTGTCATAAGTGCTTACGTGACTTGTCCAGACATCACAAAAACAGTCACTCCAGACTTGAAGGTTACCAGCTACCTTTCGACCTTCACTTAAACACTGAATGTCTATTTCTGATGTGTTCGTGTCTATTTTTCTTTTGGTCCTTCTAAGTTATTACATGTCTACTTCAGCTTCAAGATGAGGGAGTTCTTCTGCACATTGATATCGGGAAAGGAAAGCGTCGGCTGGGGGGATCTTGCTTAGCACAAGTTTATGATCAGGTATTATTTTTGTACTTGAAGATTTAACCTTGTTTTTATCTCGACTTTTGACCTTCTCTGTAAGGAGACGGCAGTGCTCATTTCGTTTTCTGAAACTTTATATGATTTCAGATTGGCGATGCTTCTCCGGATGTAGATGACGTGCCCTATTTGGGAAAGGTCTTCAATGCCGTACAGGTGAGAAATCTTGGCACTCTAAAAGCTGTTCATGTGAGCTTTACATTGTAATAGCATACTATAATATTCTTCATATTTGTGTTTGAACCATGCCCTTTATTTATGTGTACGCTTACAGTTAAGCGCTCACTAATGAAACCTGATCCTATTTGGCTCCATAAACGGACAGGAATTGATTGATAAGAGGATTATTGCCTCTGGTCATGACATCAGCGATGGTGGTATTGTGGTTGCCTTGCTCGAGATGGCGTTTGCTGGAAATTGTGGAATTACGGTGGATCTGCCTGCTTCCGGGAATCAGAGCTCCCTGGACACTCAGCTTTCCACCCTGTTTGCGGAGGAGCTGGGTCTTTTGCTTGAGGTTTGTACTCTATTCTTTCACTACATTTTCAAATGGTGGGACTCTTAGCAATGATTTCTACATTTTATCGAGGTCCCTAGACAATGGTTAATTTGGTTCATACTAACCTTTCGATTATCCTCCAGGTTGACCAATCCAAGCAGGAAGCTGTTATTGCACAGTTGCTGGCAGCAGGAGTTGAGTGCAATGTCGTTGGCCGTGTGACGTCCAACCCACAAGTAAGTATTAGTGTCAGCGGACAAGAGGTTGTATCCGATACCACTGCCTCTCTGCGAGATATGTGGGAAGAGACCAGTTTCCAACTCGAGAGGCTGCAACGGCTTGAATCATGTGTAGAAGCCGAACAAGAGGGTCTAAAATACAGAAAAACCCCAGCTTGGAAGTTATCTTTCACACCAGCTAAGTCTTCAGAAGAGATTATGAACAGTCCTTCGAAACCCAAAGTTGCTATCATTCGAGAGGAAGGTAGCAACGGGGACCGAGAAATGTCAGCCATGGTTCTTGCGGCAGGGCTTGAGCCTTGGGATGTTGCAATGTCGGATTTGCTTTCCGGGCGCGCTTCTCTCAAGGATTACCGGGGGGTTGTCTTTGTAGGAGGTTTTAGTTATGCAGATGTTCTAGATTCTGCTAAAGGCTGGGCTGGCACAATCCGGTTCAACAAGTCTCTCTTGGAACAGGTGGGTCCTAGTTTCATTTCATTGGTTGCACTCTTTTCGTACTTTTGAGTTTTCCTGGATTTCTTAACTTTTTTCAGGGTTTCGTAACTATTCATTGAAGCTCTATTTTTGATATGGTAGACTGTCGATTCAGTTGGGTATTTTTTCCCTCTATTTTCTAGTGCTATTGATTGGTGGGTATAATATAGAAATAGTTCAATGAACTGACAGTCTTAGTCACTGTCATCGTGAAATGGTTGATTCTGAAGTAAACTGTTCTTGCTGCAGTTCCAAGAATTTTACAACCGACCAGACACCTTCAGTTTGGGAGTATGCAATGGATGCCAACTCATGGCTTTGCTTGGTTGGGTTCCTGGAGCGGATGTTGGTGGTACTCTTGGATCCGGAGGAGATCCTGCACAGCCCCGATTTGTGCATAACGACTCTGGTCGGTTTGAGTGTCGATTTTCGTCTGTCAAGATTGGGGAGTCGCCAGCTATCATGCTCGAAGGCATGGCTGGTACAACTGTAGGGATATGGATATCCCATGGTGAGGGCAAAGCCCTGTTTCCCAACTCTCCCATTCTCGAAAAGGTGAAGAAGTCAAACCTAGTTCCCCTCACTTACTGTGATGACGCAGGAGAGTCTACAGAAGCCTATCCTTTCAACCCCAATGGCTCGCCCGAGGGAATTGCAGCCCTCTGCTCACCTGATGGGCGACACCTGGCTATGATGCCTCATCCTGAAAGGTGTTTCCAAATGTGGCAGTTTCCATGGTATCCTCAAGAATGGACCCACATTGATGCTGCTGGACCCAGCCCTTGGTTGCGACTGTTCCAAAACGCTCGCGAGTGGTGTAGCTCTGTTGAATAGTTTATGACTCCTTTTCTCAGCCGAAGGCAACGTTAGGACAGTTCTGTTTTGTTATCTCAGCCGAAGCTAGATTGATGGCTGCGGTAGTAGAGAACTCAATCATGGTGCAAAGTTAGCAGCGTACAGTAATGTTGCCAAGAGAGATTTGCGGCTTTTTGTACCATTGCTCTGCCAAAAATCAATGTCGCACTGATGGAAAACTTGGGAATGTGCTAATGAGCGCATCATCTCATTAATACGAAGAACACTGGAGATTTGCTGCCACTTGACAAGCTGCTCCTTCAACAGTATTTTATCAAGTGATTCCTAGTCTTATTATGCATCAGTAGTTTCTCTTTTCTTTTCTTTTCTTTTCTTTTTTCTGTTTGTCTCGTTTTGGGATTCTTACGCCAATCTTTATGATCTGGGTTGATTTTAGGTTTTATCAGGTAACTGACCTAGCACTGTAATTTCAATAATTCGTCATCAGATTGTTCCACACATTCACCCATCTATGTTGCTGCCTGCAATCTGACGTGTACCTTGATCAATCACTAGTGTGTACACAATTGGGCCTCGGGAATCTTGGTGTTTACTGTGAAGGTGTGTACATCATGAAATGAAATGTACTGATGCATGAGGTCAACTGTGCGAGGTCTTCTTCAAGTTTACCTACAATCTGGACACGACATTCCATAGAAGCGGAACCATAGAACCACATAGGCTGTTAAATAGTGTACCAATTACACTCATCAATCCTCATATTCCTTGATCCACAACGGTTTCATAATTCACCACGCAGAGGATTCGGTTTAGGATTTTGTTCACTGTTGGAACTGTTGCTGGTTCAACTCGCTTTCATCTACGCAGTGTTGTAGAATGTCTTTAGATGACAGCACTGGAAATTACCTTAACCCGGACCAGCTTCGACTTGACACATGTGGCTGATGTTCTGGGCCCACTGGAAGGTGATGTTCAGACTCGTCATGTGCTGTGTGCACAAGTTTGGTCGTTAACTGTTCTACTTAGTCACATCGAGGTTGAAGTTCCAACTAATAAATTTGCCATTCCGCTTTCTGATGTGCTCTGTCAACCCTTGAGCCAGTTGTCTTCCATACATCAAGTTCAATGAGCTTCGTCCCACGAGGATATCAGTTGCGTAATCCTCCCTGATTACCGTGTCAATGAAGCTAGCTAACAGGAGAGTACGAAATCGGGGATAATTTGAGACCGAATTTCGTGAGGAAGCTTGGAAGTGCAGCCTGAAACTGTTACTTTGCGGTTGAGTTCTTGCTGATGGAGACAAAGAATGCGGTGATTGATTCTCAAGCACATGAGAATAATACTCTACACGTGGACCTCGAGAAGATGCCTTTGTTGCCTTCATATCGGTTGGTTCCTGTTAAAGCTCTCTCTCAGGTATCAAGGTTGTAGAATCCTTAAAGCTCGTTTACTTGCCTAAGATTAGTGTAGAATTCTACATAGCAATTCCTTGCAGACATTGAGAGCTCCAATTAGGCGGGGGTGCTAGGGTTTCATTCTGATGAGATTGTTTTGGGTCCATTTTGTAGTCGTAGCAGATTTCTTTTACTTTTAGCTTGTTGGTTGCTGCAGTGTTGTGTTGGCTCCACTTACCTTCTGCAGGTCACACAGCATAGTATCACAGCCTTCACATGCCGCTCTTTATTACGCGCCACGCACAACGAATGGTGGAGCTCCTACTGCCGAAGCTAGTGGTGTCAATTAAACCTTGAATGGGTTTTCACACACTTCGGGGGATCGGTCGCAAGAGTGTATGGATGCGTGGAAGGATATTCTGAATGATAAGGGACGCTCGTTTTTCTGTCAGCTTTGGTGTGTCGGCCGAGTGTCTCATACTTGTAAGCAAACGTTCTGCTGCCTAGTCGTGTGCAGTGACTGTAATTAGTTGAAGGAAAACAATCGTAGTGTTGTATTATCATCTTTACAATATCCGAAACCATAGATCTGATGTATTTATGTGGTGATATGCACTCGAGTGGAAACAGAAGAGATTATGATGTTGAGTGGGATCAAGTTAATGAGATGCTTTTTGTAGTGAAACTGGAGTTTGTTTTGGATGCCAGTGGGTAGCTCACAAGTTAATGAATTCCAAAGATGTGTGTTGTTTGCAAATAGCTCCAGAATACATTCTTTGTGAAATAATTTTATTTATAATGTCTGAAAGTCAACACACATGTAGAGTAAATATGTGACTGTGAGCAGGCATGGAGGAACACACTCGTGTGGTTGTGTGAAGGTTAGAGTTCATTTGGTGGTCTTCTGTAGGGGTTGATTTGGATAGTTTGTTAGGATTTTCTGATTCTTTACAATATTCGCATGCATGCAGCGTATCAACCCAGTGATGCATCGCCTATTTCCTCGACCAACCAAGTCATCATAAATATTAAGGGATACCTGTAGGCACCCAATCGAATGGTGGATCACTCCACTCTATGACTACTGGTGACTCGTCAGGTTGTTGAGTACGTGGAATATTGCAATGGGTATTCTCCTAATACTTTTGGACATATTTGAACATATTTCTTTTCGAATCCCTCACCTTGCCAAAAGTGTCTGTTCATCCACGAAAACGTCATCTTAACGTTAATTGACCTAGTTCTGTTTCCGAATTGGCAAGCTTTGATGGGGTAAAGCTTCGCAGAGCACATGGTTCGCCCTGTTTATCAACTAGTTTTTGAAAGATGACTTCAGGAACAAAACAAATATAATTCTGTTGTCTTCATACATACTGTCCTTTCTTTGAGCATACTGTAGAGCCTCAATTCTTATACGAATAAAATGTACTTCCGATTCGGTCCAAATATCATAAATCTGCTCATGTGTCATTTGCTTGTTAGCAATGGGTAGTGACACTGTGAGGTGTAGCAAGTTGCCTTCTTGTATGGATAGAGCCAGTTGTGCGATAGTTAGGAGCCCTTTGTTGCGACACTCCAGAATGAGAGGTATATAGGAGATTCTTTTTTGCTGCATAATAAGCATGAGACGCTGTCAATTCAAGGAAGTCAAGAGTTGGTTGCTTGCCATGGAGAGCTGATATGTGACTGGGCGCGACAAGCATATAGCCAACTTTCTTACATTGTTTAATCAAGGAAACAGAAAGAGTCAGAAGATTTAGCTTCAAAACATTTATTTACACCTGGTTCTAGAGTGTACTGGCTTTGTTGCCATTGATTGGTGTAATTATTGTTATGGTAATTTGTAAACATGTTTATGGAAGTGTATATTGTCATTGCTCAGTTTCTGTGCTGGAACACATGTGTTTTGCTGTTGCAAATTAATTTGCCTTTGTGGGCTAGCCATTTCTTCTTTTAGCTGGTTACTCAGTAATAGGGTGGTGGAAATGCAGGCATGAGTTCAGGATGTTATGCAGAACAGCATTAGACCAGGCATTTTAACAGTAGTTCACATAACTGCAGTTTTCTTGAAACATCAGCTCTGGTTTTTGCAAACTGACATTCCTCTTTAACGCCATGACTTTTCAACTAAGAAAACTTTTTGTAAGCTGTAATCTTAATCCAGAGAGAGAGAGAGAGAGAGAGAGAGAGAGAGAGAATAGCAAGTCTTGAAAACATTTCTGTTGGTTATCGACATTACAATTTTATCTCGATTTGTATCTATCATCACACATTCTGTTCATACTAGCCATCACTGCATCATTCCCATGGTTTCTAAGTTAGCAGCTTCATCACAGGAGTTAAAAACAAAAGAAATGGAGCCAGTGATGGATAAGGTTGGGAGAATGAAGGTACTCTAGTTGTCCACACATCTTAGTAAGTGGTAAAAATGAGAGGGATTTGCCAAGGCTGCTGTTCACTGGTGAGAACCCATTTTGGTCTTTTTCAGGCTAAGGCAAGCAAATGGTAAGAAAAAATACTGGGGAGCAACTCAATTAACAAATGGACTGTCAGGCAATCAACCAGCAATTGCCTATGATGGATGGACAGGGCTGAGGCAGTGATTGATAAGACGCAAAAGGCTGCTTGATGGGACACTGAGCTTGGGATTGTCCGGCTGATGATGTTAAGTGTCTCCTCCTGCAAGCTGGATTATCTCAGAGCCAGGAATTATAAGGCAGAGAATAGTGATTCCAATGGCTGCTTTTTCGTCATCTCTCTGCATAAAAGTGCAACTTGTGTACTCTGAATATGGGATCACAGGAAAAGGTGATGGGAATTTTTCAGTACTCTTGGAACAACAGAGCTCCATGGGAATAAAAATTCTGCACAGAACATACATCTGTTCTCCATTGTTGCAAAAAAAACAAAGAAGTAACCATTAACCAATAACAACAAACTCATAAACACAGAATGGTGGAACAGTGGTGGGCTTGGCAGGTTAGGTAACATGTTCCCATTTGGAATGTGCTTGGTCACATCACTTTGATATTTCCTCAGCAATAGATAATATCTGGTCCCCCTCTCCACCCACAACCCCCCCCCCCCCAACTGTCAAACCCTCCATCTGGGAAATTGAAACTAGCCAAAAAGTATATCACCCTTTAACCCCCCTCTCTAAATTTTCTCCTTAGATAATAGTACCCATGGTCAGAAACATGGAGGGCATTCACATGAGAATGAATACAACAATGAGTCAGTCAAGTGGTCCAACAAGCCCTGGAGAGCCTGTTTTTTGGTGTCACCCTGGTCAAGAGAATATATGCACGTTCTTGAACAATACACAATTTAATAGCATCCCTGTGGTGGGTAGAAAGGGGCCAAGTGTGTGAGGGAGGGGGGGGGGATGATGAAGTGAAAGAGAGGAGGCCCTTGGACCCTTCCCACTCTACCAGATGCTTCAGAGCTTGCTGCATCCTCTTCATCCATCTGGTCCTTGCTGTGTCGCTCTCTCCATTGTTATCATTTATTAGGCACAAGATATAATATATTCCAATTTTTTGCAAGTACATGGGCTTCCCTAGCCCTGGTGGTGGAGGGTGCTGTCCGGCACAGTCTGTGTTATGATTATTGTGGCTTTAACTCAGGCAAGTATTTTTTTGAAAAGAAGAAGGGTGCCAAACATTGTTGTCAAATAATGTGATGGAGACAAATCTTAAAGGACATTTGGCAAGGCCTCTATCACTCTCACACTCTCTCTCTCTCTCTATGCCTCTTTCTCCCCCTCCTTGCTTTGCTTTACTCTTCCTCTTGGGTAGCATTGAAGTGAGGTGTTAAAACACACATAGGATTCTCTCTTGTTGGCTCTCTCTCTTGTTCTCCGGCCTGTTTTTAATATGAAGTTGTTTGTGGTGTGTCCTTCATAGTGTAAGTGTTTGGGGAAACTTGTGCAGTTCATGTGGCAAAGTGGATTTGTCTTGGTTATTGGGACTTATTACAATTTTTTTTTAAAGCTGTGGGTGGGGTTGGATTAGAAGAGGTTAGAGTGATTCAATAGGAGTTGAACAGAAGGTTTCAATCAAGAGGAAATTGAATAAGTTAAAACATGGTGGGAAAGAGTAACTATTCAAGGTATAAAAAGGACATTGAGAAGTGTTATTGTAATGTGATAAGATAAGAGCTTTTGCAATCAAGTACAAGTTGAGATGATTTAAGGGTACCCTATTTGCATTTTACTTTACAATTGGAAATTGTTTTTAACAACTAAGGTGTTTCAAACAAAGTCAATATCAAGTATATACTTTTTCATGATCTCTGTCACATTTATTTCTATGTATATATACAAACAAAAGATAACTGATGCTTCAATACAAATGCAGATTTGATGCCCTGAAAACCTACTTAAAAGAAAATACTAAGTAAAATTTTTTATTTTTATTTTGTGAGATTTGAAGTGGTGAGCTTATTTTTTATTTAATTTTTTTATCATTATTATAATTAAAATATATAAAATTGTAATATTTTTAATTTTTAAAAGTATTACCTTTGAGAGAATACAACACGTGATGTGGAAACCTAATTAGCATTTTTTAATGCTAATAAATTTAAGTATCCTAATTATTTATTATATACTTCAATTAAATAAATCTAAAAAATAGAAAAGAACAAAATTTCACGTATTAGTTCATTATATGATTAAAATTTATTTTTATTTTTTTACTTTTGGATTTTATATTCAGCATTGCATTCATAAAATTTAATTAATATTCATAAAATTTCAATATCTTGTTAGTTATACCAATTTTTGATAAGGTATTCCTCAAATTCACTAATTTTGCTCTGTCACTCATCCATGCAATATTATGTGAGAAAAAAAAAAAAAACAAACAAACAAACAAAAAACAAAAAAACCTAAAGTTCTCATATATCAAGTCTAAACAAATATAAAAAATATCTATTGTGGTCACACAACTTAGAATTCATATTTACTAAGTGCATATCAAATAAACATATCAACTTTTAAAACTTGATTAGAATGTAAGATTGAGTGACTAGCAACTGGAAAAGAGCTACCTAGTCATTTTCAGGATCATGCAATCCTCTTTCAACACACAAAAACCTCACACACACACACACACACACATATATATATATATATATATATATATATATATTTCTATTTTTTTTCTAATTTTAACTTTTGCTAGACATGTAATAACATATAGAATTGCAGATTATATTTTAGCTTCAAATTTTGTCAGGTTAATTCACACAAATGAATATCACACAATAAAACATTGATTGGTGTGTCAAAAGAGGAAGCAGAAGAAGAAGGTACAACCATAGAATAGATTTTTGTAGATTGTATTCATGTTTGTAACAAGAATCTACATCTACTATAAGCCCTACCCATTTTTTTTCAGAAGTATCAAGTTATGTATCTTTGTGTTCTATCTCAAATGCTCCAATTATCAGTTGAGTGTGCCATATGCACTACAGTTCCAACCTTTGCAATTAGTGTGCTATTTCAATAGAAGCATGCCTCACAGTAATTGAAATAAAAGGTGGTGTGGGTTTTTGACCCTTGATGCACCTCGAGGCTGGACTAATGGGGACAGCTCAAGCTTGTGGAAGTCTATTTGGAGGACAAGCAATCAGCAGCTATGAAAGCAAATTGGCCAGGACGCAGAGGTTGATAGTGCTAATCTTTAGTACTAGGCCCCCACCCATTTAGTTCCATTTGATCAACACTGGTGGTTTTTTAGCACCTTGTCAATTGTTGCAGTACCTCCCCCAGAGAAAAACTTAGTCTAATGGATTGGGGGATGCTTCATGTACCACCCCATCTCAGGTTTATGGGAAGTCTAATCAACCTCGAAGGGGTGATGGGACATGATCTCAACACCCAAGTTTGCTGAAAGCTGATGATTGTGAGTAAGTTTGAAGCTTGACCTTGGAGTTAATGGATGAAACTTGCAGAGAGTATTACTGAGAATGTTGAAAATATTATATGTATATATATATAACTATATCATGCTAGAACACATGGTTCTTGTAGTTAATCTGCACATGGGTTAAACTGAAGTTGAGGTAGAGAAGAACCCAGGTATACGTATTATGTTATTTTACTTCATATTGAATTAGACATGATCAATGTGGAGTAGTGAAGTGGGATTCAGAAGTCACAATAGGATTTAATCTCAGCAAGATTGGGTGAAATCAGTCAGAAAAGGGTGGCTGACAGCAACTTAGGAGTCTTAGTATGCAGCAATTATACCTATCTGGACTATTTCATCTCCACAGCTATATTTCTGCAATTCTTGAGTCAATATGACATGTTCAGTATGTTAATCAGTAAACGAATATCTATCTATCTATCTGTATGTGTGAAGGGATGAATGAATGAATTAATGAACGAATTAAACTCGAACAATTCAAAATGAAAGTCAAATAGCATAAAATGCAGAGTGGTTTACCAAAAAAATTACAGAGCAATACTGGAAAAGTCACCAGAATTCAATCCCATGCGATTCGTCGCCGGAAGTTGCACAGTAGATTGGACTAATGCTGGTGTTGTACATAATGAACTCTTGCTGTAATACATTACATTCTACGTCTTGAAATGAGTATTTTCCTATAATATGAAATATGTAGTGCTGGGCCACTAGTGCACTCCAAATGATAGGAACTTGCAAGGGGGTTCCAGAACGAAGCCAAAGAAGAGTGCCAAAAATGAAACATGCTCGTGGATTTTCCAGCAACAGTGAATTGAATGAGTGAGCGACGAATCATTGAGGGAACCATGGACGTGACAAGAAACCAGCTGCAGATACGACCAAGAGAGACAGAGACAGAGAGGGAAAGGGAAGGAAAGAAGGAATAGATTACAGCACACACCTGATGATCAACAATAAGTGTACAATTTACTTCAGAACTAGCTTCACCAGTTAGATCAATTAGCTTTCACCGATGTGCTGTCTGCAGAAGGTCATCATTAATGTTTTGTTGCTCGTTCCTTGAGTCTCAGTTTGTTAACATGAGTTTTTCTCTTGTTCTCATCACCAGCTCACTTTGACGATGATGCTCAACCCTGCTAGACCATGAGTTTGATTCATGCACACATTCAACAGTTAGCGTTTCATGTGCAAGCTTATGATTTTGAAGGCTTCCAGGTAATTTTCAGAAGCTGCTGTTGCTACTGAATTTGTTATGTCGAGTTTCTGCTCGGTTGGTGGTGGTGAATTGGAGACAAGGACGTGTGCACCACCTACAACATTAGCCAAGCTACGAATGCTACTTTGAGGCCAGAGACTTGGTGTAGGGGACCTTTCACGACAGTTGGTTACCAGACTAAATCGGTCAGAATGCCGTTGCATTGAATTGTAGCATTCCACAGAATCTTAAAGTAGTTGAATATTAACCGCTCCAAAAGCTAGACTGAAACTGGGTGCTCCTGAGAATAGTACGTCGATCGTTAACATGAAGACGTGAGTGTATGCAATCAACTCGAGTGGAACTTGACTTTGATTCAAGGAAGCAGGAGCTTATAAATGAAGCGAGCTAGGCAGATGCTCCAGCATCGGTTCAGTGACTTGGAGTTTTTTCTAGAATAGTTCATGAAAATAGCTCGCAGATTTTAACACGGTTTGGAGAACCTTTGTTGCCGTAGTTGGTGACATTGTTTGCTGCGATTTGGGGAACCGCATTCTTCCTTCAGCAGGTGTGAGTAAATTATGTTTCTTGGGCCTCTTTCGTGAAGTGCAGTAATATGGTGCAGTAGTGAGCAGAAGGGTGATAGAGGTGCACTCCAGATGTTCAAGTTATAACAGGGGTCTGGGATTTTTGTTTACGCGGAGAGGGCATCAGTAACTCTGGAAGAGTATATCTGAGTATTCCCAATTTTGTTGTTTCCGATGGAACACTTGTCTATCTCGATTTGTTCTAAGCGCCTTCAAGTAAGCTCCTAAAACCCCAAGAATTATCAGGTGGATTCAAATTTCTATCGAATACTAGGGATGTGCAATTTTTCCTCGTTCAATGTGCAATTATCTTTCCTCACAGAACTCATGGTCCTAACCTGCTTGTTTCCTGTTTAGCGTGTTCTTTGTCACCATGAAACTCGTAATTGATAGTTGGACGCGCAACTGGCGAAACGAGTTCTCAATGAGGCCGTGACCTGGCCATTGACCTGCACCAAATCAAGCATCGATGGTTAATGCTGCAGCAGAGAAAACGTCTCTTCGCTACCAAATAACTCATGCCAGAGCTGACAGAAGGTACAAAGTAAAATGCCTTGGGGTTCAAAAATTGTCAGGTGCAGCTCCAGACATGACCCCATTGCGACTGTCCTTTAAAAACGATCTGGACCTAATTATGGCTGAAACAGACATCACGAGTACTTGAAAAGTGAATTAAGCACTCTCTCAGCCCACTAGAACACCTCAATGTCTCGGCTCAACTTCATTTAGTTTTACTTGACAGAAGTATGTCACCTCAATGTTACGAAAAGTATTTCTTATTTTGAAAAAAACGAAAAAAATTGGATGCTTCTGTAAAGACTAGAACTGTTCCTACCATTACAAATCATAACAATATACATAATTTACAGTTGTGCAGGAATCGTCGTTTTTGAGGAACTAGTTCAAGGAATTTGCGACACTGAATGCACCTCCACTGATACCAGGAAATCGGAGCTGCTCCGGTACGTGAAGCTCGACATAATCTTCATCTAGCTAGATAGTGGATTTTCATGAACTAACAAGTGAACACTTTGAAGTCCATGACTTCTTGAGACTGACTAATCTAAATTGGATTTGTTACAGCTGGTATACGAAGAAACGAACCCCCATTGGTGGCTGTCGACTACCTAAGCTCCAACTTCCAGCTTTGCAGCTATTATAAAGACCTTTCCGACTTCATTACTCTGTTAGAGCAGGTAAAGCTCACTAGAATTCGTGCTGTTCATTTGACACTCGCTGCAAATAGGAACCAATCGTTACCTCAGAGATGGACCAAATACATACAATTTCGCCCGAGGCTGCAGAGAAAGTTCTCGTTCGCGAATTTCCATGCACAGAATCAAGTCTTCAACAATCAGCATTGAAATCCTTTTGGTTTATTGGACCTACTTCTACACAAAGCTCATCCGACGGTAACCCCAGAGAAATCAAGAAAAAGGTGCACTATTCCTCATGTGAAACAGCTCCAGTAACATCGACCCCTACTCTCAGAAATTTTCAAAGTCATGGTGAGTTCAGACCTCGCAAACGTCAAGTGAAAATTAACACAGGTTTCCTCTAGTTTAGACCTAAGAAGACGAGGTTTGAACATTTACATTCATTTCGAGTATATGGTTATAAATGTGACGGATAGTGTTGGATAAACATGTGTAGAGAAAGACCAGGTCGATCAGGTGACTCGAGACTTGTGCGAAAACTTCGAAAGTTGGGTGGATGCTCCAATAAGAGCCGAAGTTGAGCACCCTTGGAAGAAAGCTAGGATGACACCATGTGGGCAGATATTGGGCAGCAGACAAAGCAGAGATGATGCTCCAATTGCCACTATTCCAGTTTGTCGCAATGGAGAAGCTCCTGAAGATACTGGCTATTGCCTCAATGTTACCCAGAACTACATGGATCTCAAAGGAAGTGAACGTGTGAGTGAGGGATCCACTCGCTGGGGCGTTAAGCGGAAAGTTGATGCAGTTGATGGGCTTACAGCTCACGCATACAGTGATCATGCCAACAGACACCTGAGGGATAAGCTTAACGACTTTTATCTACGAAGTGTTTTAGCGAATGAAAATGAAGCTGGCATTGTTCCTTTCAATTTCATGCAATCGCTAAGAGGACAATGGACAGTACCATCGCCCTCGCCGTCAGCTTATCCTACTCCTGCGAAAACCATGGACTTGTATGGTCTGCAAGCAAGCACAGCTGGAGGGATCCTAAAACGTACGCAATCATGTCACGCGTCCAAGGATCCAAAGACATTAAAGACTCATCACAGCAGATCCACAAATATGCTGAAGCTTCCTAAAGACATGCAAGGCCGGTGGTCCAGTGAAAGGTGTAAACAACCCACATCTAGCAAATTTCAAAGTTCCGAACTTCTACGTAATTTTCCTTGTGTTTAATTTTCATGACTCCGTTGCAGTAATTGCTGTCGGGATAAGACGGTAACCGTTGCCACAAAGTATAGTTGAAGCTTCCGGAGACAGACATGAAGCTCATTTGTGGAGTTGACATAAATCTGATTGATCTTGTTTTTCTTACGTAATTTGAAGGTACAAGTCTGCGCAGCTGAAGCTTATAGAAATAATGCACGAGCGCAAAGCGCAGCCAGGAAGACCAATCCGAAGACCTGCTCTGCGTGGAGAGGCACGAAAGCACATTGGAGACACAGGGCTGCTTGATCACCTTCTGAAGCATATGACTGATACGGTTGTAAGCACCGGCGAACGCTTTCGCCGTCGGCACAACGCAGAAGGAGCCATGGAATACTGGCTGGAAGATGCAAGTCTGATGGAAATACGTAAAGCAGCTGGAGTCGAGGACCCTTCGTGGATTCCTCCTCATGGTAATACCAGATTTCCATGCATTACAAAGTTAATCCGTTAGCGTCTCCAGGGCTTCATAGATTTTGTCGAACTTGACCTAACATGTGGAAACACTTAGACATGTTCAACCATCGATATATTTAGATCTAAAACGTAACGTGATGATCCGTAAGAAGACTTTGTTGGACTTCGAATACAGAACTGTCGGACTGTAGTTTTTCCTGTTGGCCTTCCAAGTGGACGTCGTTCAGATTCTGTCTTTCTGAAATCAACCGAAATCTCAATATTGAACGTCTTCAGCTTTTTGTAAAACATAGCTGTGTCTAAGTAGTTGTGTTTATTTTCGTGGCGATCTCCTGTAGGTTGGAAACCAGGTGATAAGTTTCGAAGTGGTTTATGGGAAATTAGCCGAAGCATGTCGTCCTCCGAAGCTGCGGAAATGAGTCAGCTCAAGGAGACGGTAGAAGTACTTAAAAGGTTTGTAATATGACACTCAGCTTTTCCTCAGTACTTGGTCTCAAAAGTGGATCTGGAAGATTTCCAAATAACTATCACTACAAGAATCTAATTGTTCTCTACCAACTAGCTAGTACTTTGATTGGAATAGGAACAAGTGGCAGCTGACTTAGAAATCGATTATCAATTCAAGGACTGAAGTTACTTATCTCTACGACCACATGTTTGGTTTGTGAGCAGAGAGATGAAGTTCCTGTTTCATAAATTAAAGGAATTGAAACATATGGAGGTTCTACGAACTGAAGAGACAAACGATGTAGGAGTGAAGCCGTATGAAACTGGCCATGTGGTTGGCTTGAGAACTTATGACGATTCGGACAAGAAGATTTCGGTAAATTGATTTATCCTTTAACAGAATATCACCTTGGATAGTGAAACACCATAATGTGCCCACTAATTCATTTCATTTTTCTCTGTTGAAACTTCAGGAGGAACAAGAGGAACAACATGAGAAGACTACGACAGCTGCAGGAAGCACTACTTTGGAATGGCAGCTTGCAGACATTCGGAAAGAAGTCAATCGAATGCAGGTTAGGTTCATGTACCTAAGGTTAAAATGTGCCGTCATACAAGTTCAACTATCGAAGTAAAGCGTTTCAACAAAAGGAACAGTTCACAAATATTATTAGGATGTCATTAGATGTGTCACAATCGATCAAATCTCTTCTCCTAAAGGTCTGACACGAAGTTCGAGCTGAAAGGATGTATAAGTTGCAGTGAATGTAAGTCATGATGAAGTTGATACCAACCTGCCAGAAGTGCAAATGTGGTAGCCCTCGTGTATTTGCGGTATCTACTTCTTGATCAATCCTTTTTTCTGCGTGCAGTCAGACGTTCAATGCATTCTAAAGCTCCTCGGTTACCAACAACACGTAAGAGAGTCTTCAGATGGTTCTCCGCAGATTGAAGGTTTCGACAGCGGCACGCCAGGCTTGCTGCTCTCTGCAGGTGAGGAAGTCCTGTCAGTGACGAACATGTCTGAAACTCTTTTCCCAGCCAGTTCATCACCAGGGGGCCATACTCATCCTGAGCCCATAGCAAGAGAATTTGCAAGCGTGAACAGCGCAACTAGCAGCAGCACTGATGCAGCTGGTCCCATCACCCAGGAAACCTACTCCATTAGAGAGAACCAGGTAATGCCCCAGCCCCAAGAATGTTGTACAGTCTACTATTATTGGAATCGAACAAAGATGTAAGAATGACCAATTTTTATTGTGTTATTGACTATAAAAACCCACTTCCTTTGTCGCATAACAGGAATGCCAAATCAAAATGGACGGTAGCAGCGTACCTCAAATCTGCCTGCGTCCTCGAGAGGCTGCTACCCCTGTGTGGCTGAATTTGACCACGGCATCAAGTAACCATGCCGCCCCAGCAAACAATTCTCGATGGGATGATTATACTAACCCTTTCCATCGAGACCACCCTGGAGTTTGTGCATCGGCCACGAATTCTCGTGAGGGATCACCGGTGCACTTCAATTTCGCTGGTGTCTCCCGACCGTTGGCAAAAGAGTGTCCTGTGGCAGCGGCAATGGCTGGTATGTTCGGATGCATGGTGCAGACGAAGCAACACTCGATCAAAGGCGAGAGTCTCGACCATGTGGTAGGTATCCAAACCTCCTAGCTGCGCTCTTCGCCTCTACTGAAAATCAGTAGCAAGAGATTGCATAAACTAATTTGCTGTTTTTGAAATTTGCGCAGACGGGGGCCGCCATGTCAACTACCGGGAGACCCGAGAAGTGCATGATCCCATTGAGTTTTGAAAGAGCCTTTGGTGCATGTCAAGCCTTAGCTTTGACACCCGGTGACAATTCTTCTGGACAAGGACCACCTCTCTCTCTTTCGTTGTCACTCACACTGGGTTCGCAAGTAAAGCTCTGATGTTCAAGTTGGATCCGACTCCATCCTGAAACGTCCTTGAATGACTTGTAAATTTCGAAACTAGTGATCGTAGTGCCAGAGAATTTTAGGTGAAGTTGGATCATTATGAATTGAGTGACTGATGTCTCCTTGTAAGAGTTTCCTAGTCTTTTTACGTAGACCCGTAAACTGCATCATAAATCAGTCGATCTCGACAACCTTTGGTCAAATTCTTGTATGAACCCCTAATTTATCTTTCAAATCGTGTTCAGTACTTGCACCATATGAATACTGGCAGACGACTGATTGTTGTTTGGAAAACACACCCGACAGTGGTGCAATCTTCATACACTATTTTGGAGGAGAAGATTCTTTGCGATACTATGGAATATAGGTTGATGATCGAGATATTGCACAGGGACTTGTATAAGCGTTGATTCGAATACTCGTCTGATTTGAATAAAGCTCGCCTTCCAGAACGTTTAAGTTCAAGTGAGCTATCTAGAAAACCATACTTCTTGTTATACTTGGCAACGACCTCCACAAACTGATTTTCACTATCATCTACACTAACGTTGAAGGAGTTAAGCCTGTAGTCTGTTCAAGACCGATTTCTAGCATGCTTAAACTTCAAACATGTTTCCTGCCTAAAGAACTAAATGCCTCGGCCACACAAAAATACACAAAGGTATTGATGATTTTACTGTACAGTCTAATGGCAACAATTCAGCAATCTTCTAATTGCATATTGGACACCGAATTAATCCATTTTCATTACATTCACTGCACCGCACCACCTCATTTGCCTCATTTACCACCTTGGTACTGCCACTGCAATTTGAGCAGGGAACAAAGCGGATCCCCCCACATCCGTCACATTCTTCGCGGGACTTTTGAGATGGCATACCATCCACAAAACTGGCAAGGGTGCCATCCTCATGCAATCGAATGAGGGTATCTACACCTCCAATATAACGGCCCTTAATGAAAGTCTGAGGAACTGATACCAACTTTCCAGCAAGTTTCTTCAATTCCTGCCGAAACTCTGCATGAATGGACACATCCCGCTCATCAATCTCAACGTTAAAGCTCTCCAAGATGAATCTTGCATTGTTACAATCTTCGAATGTTTTGCGAATCCCACGCAAGGTAGTTGTGTAGAGCACAATTCGGTCTTTTCCAGCTGGGGGACACTTTCGCGCATACTGTGCCCAGGGATCAGGCTTCACTGCTACTCCTTTATCTACATTTCCATGTCGAATTTTGTCAACAAACAATCCATCTCCCAGTTTAACAAGTGACATCGGTGAATGCCCATTATTCTCGGAAACGTCAGAAGCGAAATCAGCTTCACTTTTACTATCCTCCACCTTGTACCATTTTTCTGTGGAGAACATCTCCAGGGCTTCTTCAAAAGAAGCTAGTAAATCGGAGTCCATCTCCGAGTCTTCGATACCATCCACAATGAGTGAACTTCCAGAATTTGTGGTCACACCTCGTTCCGTGGCGCCTGTCGGGCTTTTACCAGCTCCAGTCGACGATCCTGTGGCTCCTGCTCCAAAACTTTTGTTTTCCGGAGAAACCTCACCGTCTCTGCTCCGACGGGCCCCGTCACCCAAAACCTGGACATGATTGCAAAAGAAGTCATGATCTGGCACCTTGCTAGCTTTCTGACACCCTACAATAATATTGAAGGCATTGTAGCTCACATAGCCACTACGATTAGAAGTGCAATCCTGAGACTGAAACTACTTCCTTGGCCTGGGCACGGTGTAGTGCTCATGAAAGGATAGAGCATCGTTTGCTGCTTTGAAAAAGACTGGCTATCACTCAGACTAACCTGACAAACCATCAGCATTTTGGAACCTGGCAATTCAGGAGGGGCATTCATGTCTACCTGGCTTATAGAGTTCTTCCGATTTTGAAGTTCAGACGAGGCTGCAAGAGAAAGCACGTGTATTGAAGAGGCAAATCGTGGCACTTCCCGAGTGGGCTCATTCGATGTCCCGCAAAGCTCAAATTGCCCTGGACGGACAACAGCACCCTCATGGCCCAAGGAAGCTGTAACAGAACCTGAAGCACAGTTGCTTTCCACGTCAGGATCTGATGATGTCGTTGCTTTCGGCTGCACTAGCCTTGAGCTCACACTACACTGCTCTTTATGGATAGCACTTTCAACTTCAACCCCTAGTTTTGTGTTCAGTGACGTAGAAGTTTTACCAGGCTTTAAGATCGGAGATTTCGATGGGTGCAGTTGTGATGGCATGTTTTGCGCTTGCGCAGAAACATGCTCTTCCGATACCAGCATAATCGGAGCAACGTCAGGTTGTCGAGGATGTACAACAACATGAGAGGCAGTGGTTCCTTTAACTGCAACATTCCTCATAGTTGGTGAAAGAGGCTGAGGAAGGCCTGTAGTTATAACTCTGCTTGTTTCTTGGACTGAGACATTCTCGTCCAGTTTCAACGTCATTGGTTGGCGAGAACGTAAGGAGTTATTGATTATAGTGGTAGCTTTGCGCAGGGGAGCTATTGACGATGGCATCAGCTTCGTTACAACATCATCCCGCTCGGGCACTACTGGCGAGCTCGCAGGCATAAGTGCTGTCCTGACCGGCTTAACGTTCTCCGTACCACTACCATCGACTGAGTTGAAGCCACTCACAACATTACCATTCAAACCAAGTGAAATGGCTTTGGTTGGGTCGTCAGAGTCCAGTTCACTCAGCGTGTGAATAGTGATAAAGCTAACGGATCTCTCAAAGGGCTTCACCACAGGAAAACTGCTCGTCCTCTTCATTAGTTTCTCTTTTGGTTTCGCAGTTCCATCTTCGGCCAGATCATCCATCAACTCCCACATGTTAATAGTCTCGTGATCATTTCTCGAAGCCTGCGAATGTAGTCGACGCTTACCTTCCGAAACTCGCCGAAAACTAGTACTTCCTGTCAGTCGTGAAGTATCCGTTCCCCGAGTATTACCCATCTGCTTAGAAATATCTGATTTTGTTGGGGGCGGAATTTTGGGAAGATTACGACTAAACTCTGACCATGTCTTCGCAACCATATCCTCATGGACATCGAGGTTTTTCAACTTCTCATAGTAAGCGTTATGAGGAGAATCAGGTTTGTTTACAAAGTTCTTATCATTGCCATCATTCTTGGTGCCGTCTACCTTCAAAATTCCATAAGTGCTGGAAGTTAGAGCCACCATATGGTAGCCAGTGTCGCTGTTGCCATGTGTTTGTAATGGCATGAACAATCTTCTGCCTGTCTTTACAAGACGAGACTCGCAGTTCGACTCCACTCCATCCTTGGAAGCGACACATCCCATCCTTCAAAAAGATACTTCGAGAGGAGCAATCAATCACAGCTGCTCAAAATCAATAAACTAGAGAATTGGAGAAATTCGAAAAGTACTATCTGAACACCGTAGAGGAAATCTAAAGACACATCCAAAGCTGTCATGAGGTGAATTAAATGTTGAGTGATGTTCTGCAATAAAATGCAATGTCGACTGCACCAGTAGTCACCACTATAAAAACTTCAGCTATACATCATTGATAATATTGCTTTCGAACAATATAAGTTTCAGTCTGGTTAGCATATCCATGTAGCATAATTCAAGACTAACAAGAAATAGTAGAAAGAACGTCTTTACGACGTGAAAGGTCTTCGCATAAATTCCAAAGCAATCCACTAAGGAAACAAACCGTGCTTACTGACAAGGTTTCTCATAATATATTTTAAACTTCCAACATTTCATTAACATATTTTGCATTAATTATTCTCCTTAACTTTGAGCAACATCCATTCCAAGAACCTCGAGAATACCTACAAAAATTCTCGAACATACACTGAATCAAAGTAGAAAGTCCAAAAACGTTTATAGTACTGGTGATGCAATGGAACACGATATACACAGCGATTGGGAGCATAATGTCAAACGCAAAGTAGAGGCCCATACCTCAAAGTTTGCAGATCTGTTTCAAGCGCTAAGTGTTAGCGTCCCAATTTGCAGAGAGCATTGTGCTATCAATACATTAAAGCGCTTCACTACTTCCTGTTAATCAATCGTGCCTCTTCTTGAGCCCTCCATCTTTTTCGATGGACGCTGCTGATAATCCACAAAGGCCTCACCAGCAGTGTAAGCCGAATACCTGTTATCCTACCCCTGAAAATCAGTTCCTCCTCCAACTTAACAATAATCGTTACAAAAACTTTCCTGATTTCGCAACGGCAAATTCTCTGATCACGGCAGAAGATGCATCTTGGGCTCAACAACGGTAGTGACCTTACGCGCCCCTACAATCCCACAGCATTCCCCACCTTCCATCTTGTAGGTCTCCACGAGAAAGAACTCATCAATACTTCGTTCAGCTTCGCAACCACGCACTCTACACCTAGCTCTCCTCATTTATCAACACCATCACTATAAGATACCAGACGAGAAGCAGCTCACACCTTTGCTTCACCAATTAAACCATCGATCGCCCTTTCTTTCCCTCACTCCCTTCAACTGTTGCATTCGAACACCACTGGGCCTAGACTCCCCGCCTCCTGCCTCAGCCAGTCTCTTGACTCAAATAAATAATCGGGTAAAGAAAAGAAAAATCTAAAGCAGGAAAAGTATCAAACCATTAGCTCTGGCCAATCCAAGTTCTCCCTGAGTCCAATCCAGCAAGCTTAGCACATCCCCGACGGAAGCGAAATCGTAAAAGCACTGCAGGCCAAGAACAAATCAGCACAGAGCACCAGACGCCATGTCCGCGTTGTGGCAGTTGTGAGAGACAACCCCAGAGCCGAACCAAGGGTGAAGATTTCAAGCTGGCGCAATCGAACGGTGCAAAGGATGCGGTGGCAAGTGTGGACACCGGGGGACTCACAATTGCCACTTATCGCCTTCGTAGTTGTGTAATAGAGGTATTGTAGTTGTACCGCGGTCACTAGATTCTTGTTTTCGCATTCATCGCAGTTTAAATTTGGGTCATCAACCGTCAAACTCTAGCCCAGTAGTCTTGGTTATGTACTGGTCTGGGGGATTCGAAAGGCTCTCACAAAAGCGGCGTGGTTAGGGAACGGAAATTCAGCTGGAGGCGGCCAATCAAAACAGGAAGCTATTATTGGGTGGCGGTACTGGTGTGTGCCGTTGGCTTCGATTCCTTTGCAAGTCCAAGCTGGAGTGGGGCAGTAGTGGAGGGAAAATCCATGTGCGTGAGTCTATGGGTGGTAGAACGCCCAAGGTGTAAATGACGAATAATGTTAACGCATCCCTATGTTAGTGGTTGGTGAAAAGGAATAAGACATGTTGCTGAAAGTTGACATTTTGCACCCATTTATCCTTGCCAGTAATTTCTATCTTGCTTTGGTAATTAAAGCGAAGTTCAAGACAATCGAGATCTGAGGTTTAAAGCTATGAGGATAACTAAAATCCTACCGATTGAATCATTTCCCTGCAATTACGTTGAGATATTGTGGGTTTAGACCCCGACTGTAAAGAACTTAGTTGAGTGGTCGAAGTCTTGAATCGTCTTTCCATGCTTTTTGATTTACGCTTGGAAACTCCGTCTTTCTCACACTATGTGGGAGCTGTTAAAAACAGCTGGGCAGTTGGACATACCATCGAGCGTAAAAACTTACTGGTACTACTCGAATTATAGTGAGAAAAACAAGACGAGAAGAACCGATACGAAAGAATAATGTGCACACAGAATCCCCATACTAACGCAGAATCTTGAGGATGTTTTAGGAATGTTATGATTCATGCGAATAAGTGCTTCAGTAAATCTGGTGTCAGGCAAGCTGCTGGCATATTCGAATGCCTACTACCGGACCTTCCGTTCCTGCTTTCATGGTGTGAAACTTCACTTTCAAACCTGTCTCGCAAAGCAAACAATTCCTGTGAGTTACTTAAATTCAAATTAAATGAAATGCCCCTCATAGGCGCCCCACTAATTGTATTTTCATGCGCTGGGCTCGAGAGAGAACATAGCATTTGCAACTTGCCAGGTATATCTTGAAGATAAATTCTACATTAGGATCCAGCAAGAGCGATAAACCGAGGGTTCTTAGAACCTGTTTACAACACCGTTTTATAAATGAGGGATCCTATCTCATGGCCCGGAAAACAAATGAATGGAATCATCCTTCTGAATGGCAGGCTCAAGTGTCAACACCTTGATTAGGCTGAAGATTAGTGCATGCTGCCGCTCCATGGGATGAGGTAATTCCCTTAGGCTGCCATTGCCCAGGGGGAGCATTCCAACTACTCAAATTGAGGAGACCTGTTCATGACCAGGCACTAATGAAGCTTACGAGATACATAATCCAATTCTACTTCGATTCGGTAAACAAGATGCATGACTTTGGAAGAACAAACAAAATGAAACTTATTTAATTCGGGAACGGATAGCATATGGTTTCACAGAATTATCCAGCGAACCCAACCGCTTTCCGGGCGAGGTGCGAGTGTTTTATTCTTTCCGAGCAAGTTAATAAACATCCTCACGGAAAACTAACCTGAAATAGCAAAGTGATCTGTAAATCACTTGATTATGAAACAATCGGGTGTTAATAAGTTAACGTTGAAATCCACCGCACGCAAAGTAGACGGGTGGAATGTGGGATTTGTACCGTGTGTCCCTTTGCTACGAAGTTGTTTGGCATCGAAGATACAAGCGGCAGCTTCGCTGCAGTGACCAGCCACAACACGCATACACACTTGCTCATACTTCCATTCGCGATCCTTGTATTCCTTATTCAAGAAAAGCTCCCAATGCCGAGCATCAAGTGTTTGCATAGTTCCTGATCCAGTGAAAGGAATAGGTCAACCCAAAACCAATTCGCATCATGTTGAAATCTGCAACCAATCAACTGTGGTTCCTATTCACATTATGCTTCAATCCATATTTTAATCATATTTCAAAGGGATCAATTGAATTCTGAGATTAATAGAAATGTAGAGTTACAGTGCCTCCAGCCGCTGCATTTGAGTCGAGCACAGCAGATGGTTTACCTTCACAAGATGCGAGGTTGCAAACAGGGCAATGCACAAGATGCAGATCTGGAAATAATCCGAAAGTTTTCTTTTATATCAATGAGCTTATTGAGTAAACTGCTGTAAAACTAATTTTTCACAAATTTAAGGGACTGCTGTACAGTGAACTCATATATTTAACTAAGTGAGAGCTAAAATTTGTGCACATCACGATACCACTCTTTTCAAGCAACTTGACAGTAACTTGCGAATTTCTCACAATATTTGAATTCAAAACACCTCTCGTGCTACTTCCCGAGTATGCTTCCAAGTAATAAACCTTGACGACTAAAGAATGACATCACATACCTGCAATCCATATTCCCCTCTTAACATTCGAAATTGCGAAGGCTTTGAGCAGTAAGCTGTCTGATTCAGAGGTGTTGCTTTTCTGGGAGACTAGTCTCATTTCCCTCAATTTATCAGTTGCAACAGCTTCTCCAGATTCTAATCTAAACACACCTATCCTCATCCAATCTGCACAAGGTGTTCAGAAGTCGTAATAAATAAACTCTCCCTTTCAGAGGCTGTGAATAACTTTCTTAAAATCGTCGCTTAACTTCACTATTCCTTGATGGTTAATTTCATAATAACGCCCAGTAGAACTAAATCAAAAACTTGAGAGCCACTGACATCCAACATCAACTGAGAGCCAAGGGGGATCTTACTTTACCATTGTCATCTCTCTGCCTAGAACATAACAATTACAACCTGTTGATAACCTGGTAGAGAAAATCCCTCGAATTGACCTTGGACAAGTTTCTAGAAACTCTAGAACTTCATACATGTAAAAGTACAGGGAAACAGAAGCTGCAATATCAATCTTCAGTGTATGTAGCATTATCATTACTGCTTTCCTACCTCAAATTAGCTTTATTCGCTCTCAGACAATGCATGCATAATTAGATTAGGTCATGAATGAACAGCCAGACACTGTTAATATCATGAGCCTGTTTACTCACGGGGAAGAGGCGGTACGATGCACACTTACCAATATGTTTTTCAGTCTCATGATGGCTGAATGTGTGACTTCCATCTGTATGAAAAGGTCACAACATAGCTATGCATGAGCACGACGTTAAGTACATCACAAAGAGAACAACGGCAGATCTACTCAAGGACTCTCTAGATCAACGATGAAAGCGGCAGCAACAACATTATCCCTAAACGTTCAACTACAGAGTCAAGTTTTTTTTCTCGCACCACATGCTGCTAGGTACAGGCTCATCCAGCTAAACGCAGGTCTTAAATCGATTGGAAGAGCTCCAAAATCACGAAGAAACACTGATTTCCAAATTAAATCGTCCTTCACCATAGCGCAAAGGTGGCGGTTCGTAAGTGCCAGACGCAGGAGACATTTGACGTCCAAGAACGACATTATGCTAATCCAGATGTCTTCATTAAACCTGCATGTAGTTCCCGAGTTGAAACTATGTACCGAACGTCACATGAAATTACTTAGTGCAGATGATTAATTCAAGATATGTGCACTTCGGCGTAGTCTCAAGGGGCAAGAAGGTATCCTAAGTAGCCATCTAAATACACTATTGCCCTGCAATGATTTGTACATGTTTTAAAGACTTTACGACCAACTCACAGATACTGCATTTGATTGCACCACTTATTTTTATCAGCTGACCAGATTACTGCCGATCATTGATGAACTTGAAACTCGTAAGTTCAAAGAACATAATCTCACACATAATGAGAGCACTCAAATCAATTGACTCACCATGCTTCGGTTTTCGCCTTCTTCGGCGACACAGAACGCCTCCTTCGGCAACTGAGCATCGGAGATCGTGCAGGCTGAGACGAGAAGCAATCTGAGGACTCATCTACTTGAGAGAAAGCTCGCATCGCAGATCCCATCACAGCCTGCTCTGCAACAGCTTCGCGCGCAAAAGTCGTAGACGGGAGAATCAGCACAAAAAATTGCAGAAAGCACTCATCGTACCTTTGGTGCAACGCAGTGATGTAAACCGGGCGTTGCCATCCTTGTGCACACCAGTTCTTGAGAGCTCTGACCACTGCAGAGTCGATTAACATGCTTCGACACTTTTAAATTTTTGTGAACCTCGCGAATCAAATAAAAAGTTGGGGAACCTTTCGCCCTTCTCTCTCCTTGTCTGGGAACATGGGCACTCCGAGCCTGGGAACTTGCGCACTTCAAACAAAGAACTCTGGACTCGCGACTGCCCTGAATATTCCTCCAAGCATTCATACTTCATCTGAGCCAAATCTACTGTTTTCTGAATGCTGTTCACAGGACCCACTACTAGTATATGATTTTTTAGAACTTTTTTTTCAGTAGCTAAGAATTTCTTGTGATATCACGTCTTTCTAAAATCAAAATTTTAAACATTTTTTCAATAAGTGGGATGCATATATATATATATATATATATATAATGGAATTGTAATTCTTTTTTTAAAAATTATCCAATCGGGAAATTTCCAATAATTGAAAACAGAATATTCAAACTTGAAAGAAAATAAAAAAAGAGTATTAAATTGAACTCAAACACACTTTGCAATTCATTGAAATTGTAAGGTAAATATTAAAATGCAAATTTTCTCATTATCCTCTGCAGTGGTTTACATTTTTGCAGGATTTTGTTCATCAATTCTCACATCAACAATCATCCTCATCCAAATTTTAAGTTCATGTATTTTGTATTAAATGTTTTGCTCAATTGCTTTTATTTTATTCTGGATGTATACATTCGTGCAAAATAATTTTTTATTAGATGTTGTAGTAATAAGTGTCTACACCAAATTTTTCTCAATGATCCAAGTGTAAAACATAATCTTATGAAGTCACTTGAATTTGTTGCCTCATCTAATCAACTCTAGCTCAAATGCATATTCAAGCCAATGATTAATAGATATACATAAATAATATATTTACTATTCACTCATGTATATATTTCTAAATTTGATGCTACTAAGACGTAGTTTTGAAAATGAAAATAATTTGGTAATAAATACTATTGAACTTTCTAATTTTAGTTACTTTAATTTATCTTTGATATCAATACAAAAAATTTCATTTGCATTAATCATAGAATGGGATTAAAATAATTATAATGAGAGAATTTACAAAAAATCCTATTACGATTGAATTATAACTAATTCATAAAAAAACCCGTTTATCAAAATTTATTCTTTATTCCAATAGTGATTATTCGAGTCCAAAAATCAAATTTGGTCCGTGCGTGATAGCTGCGGAAAGTAAAAGAACGTTCATCCAAAATCCAATGCGTTTTCATTCAGAGGATGCAATCTCCTTTATTGCAGCCCCTTCTTGACCTTCCAGTACCTTCCGGTGTTCTGTTGATGATCCTCCGAGAGGAATCCGTCTCGCACCACCGAGGTTTAAGTGTGGTGTCACATCTAGAAATTTGGCGTCGTCTGAGAGCTCTGTTTGTGGTTCCGTCTGCGCTCGCGTAGTGGGCTGGAGCAACCATTCATTGTGGTTGAACCCCAAGTAGGAATCTGTACATGTGGTGGTTCTAGTTGTACGTGGGAATTTTATTCTTCCTTCCGTAGTTGCACTATTACGTTGTCCTTATCTTCTTGCAAGTCCACGGTTTTCAGGTGGTTTGGAGGCAGCGCTTCTGAGAATTCGTCTTTTGAATAGCTAGGCGATTTTCATTGAATTTTGTGAGCAAAGTAGAGTGGGATGGCGACTTCCGTGGGGGCTGCGACGCGGAATTTGGCCAACGCTCAACAATTGCAGCAAAAGTCACCTCCTGTTTCATGTAATTCACTAGCTGTGTCTCAGGTGGTGCTTGCCCAGCCTTCCAGGTATTTATTCGCAAGGGTTCGCTTTGTACTGATGTCAACGAGTAATGTATTGTGCCTCTTAGGCGAAGCCGAATTCAGAGTGTTCGACATGGATTGCTGTTACAGGACTGAAGCTTAGTTAATTGTTTACACGGGTAAATGTGCTGTATGAAGAGCTCCAACTCTGAATTTCCAATCAGAGGATACGTAATTTTATGAAGTTCATTCACGGAATTTGTTGGATGTGTAGTCACTTTGTAACTTGTGATAACTTTTACAGGGTTCGCGGTGGCTTGGTTTGTGGTTATGCTTCAAGCACATTCTTTGCTTCAGAAACTCCTTTTTCCTTCGTGGCTCGTCCAATGCCAAGGCATCACCAGCGACGAAACGGAAGCTTTGTAGTTTGCGCTGATGCTGTAAGCTTTTTTTCCTCTACTCCTCGCACGGCATTGTTGCAATTGCCAATTGCTGAGACGACACAATTAACGCTTCCAAAATTTGAAGAGCAACTGTAGGTTCTATCTACGTTTAGCTACAATAGCAACAAGCTCCTCCAGACTGTAGATTTTACAGAGATTAATAATAGATGTACAAGTTCCGTGGTTGCTGTGGATGTTTACCCTCATTTCATACTTCAAACTTCCTGTAGATGTTTAGTAAGCCAGGTGTGTTTTTGCGCAGCAATTTATAACTAGTATTAAGTTGCTGTAGTAATTTTGGCACTTGCAACTGTCTTGGTTGGACAAATTTTGAGGACAAAAAGGCTCTTGGTGGTGGTCTTCGGCATAGTAGGGTTTTTGGATTTTCATATAGCAGCAGTTTTCAGGTTGTTTATTTCAGTAGTTCATTTCATAACGGTATCCTCGACAATCATGATCTACGCATTACAAAGAAAGTAATGTACTGGTGATTCTGAATGCTTGGCTTTGTCATTTGTTTACATGTTCAAATACTATTTAAGTAGATGTGTTATAATTTATTTTTTTTATTTTTGACGTCAATGCGCTGGTTGTCTTTAGGATTATTACGCAACACTTGGTGTGGCGAAAACTGCTGACAAGTCGGAGATTAAAAGCGGTACGTGTCACTCAAATTGTCTCCCTTCTCGTTATGCCCTGTCTTTTGAAACTTATCATATTGAAAATGAGATTGATAGCACGGACATTTACTTCTTTAGTGATAGAGGATTTTTCCGCTCATGATTGCATTGGTTTTGTACTTTTGTGGTTGCAGCTTATCGGAAACTTGCAAGGCAATACCATCCAGATGTGAACAAGTAAGTTATGGTTGGATCATTGGTTTGGTGTTAATTTATTTGTGGTTGTCCGCTGAATTGGTTCCAGTTGACCAGAGTAAGTAACAATGATGTTTATCTTTGTTAACAGAGAACCTGAAGCCGAACAGAAGTTTAAAGATATTAGTAACGCGTATGAGGTAATTTTAATCTCAAATTTTCAAAATAAATTTAGAATTTTTACGTCACCTTTAATCTTTTTAAAGCAATACTCTTAATCGGAAATTAAACATTAACGAAAATGGCAGATCAATCTTGAAGTAGGGATTTCGTCTCTTAAAATGTATTGTATTTGAATTGTGTGTGCACTCTTCAAAGCTGACGCTAATTGTCTTTATTATTTGCAGGTTCTCTCTGATGATGAGAAGCGATCAATTTATGACAGATTTGGTGAAGCTGGTCTTAAAGGTGCTGGAGGTGCAGGAGGGACTGGGGTAAGTTACCTCGTATATATTCCAGAGGCGTGTATATTTTTGCTAGCTGTAACCTGTGTATTACATCCCCTGTTTTAACATTGGAAGTTCTCACTTTTTTTTCTTCTGTGCACTGCTTGATGAAGGGTTTCAATAATCCCTTTGACCTTTTCGAGACATTCTTTGGAGGAATGGGCGGTAGAAGTTCCGCCCAGGCTCGAAACAGGCCCGTACAGGGTGACGACGAGCGCTATGACCTACTTCTTGATTTCAAGGAAGCCGTGTTTGGCACAGAAAAAGATATAGACGTGACTAGACTGGAAAGTTGCAATACATGTGCTGGTTCTGGAGCGAAACCCGGTACAACTCCCACTCCGTGCAGTACCTGTGGAGGTCAAGGACAAGTGATGACTACCGCTCAAACTCCTCTAGGAATGTTTCAGCAGGTAAGTAATTGAAGGTTCGCTTGAAGTTCCTGTAGTTCTCGTCCAATGTATTTCATTGTGTGCCTTTGAGGTGATAAATACATTATTCGCTAACGTTTGACGGCTTGTTAATACTGGTTGTGTTTTTTTTGACCCCTCTTATATTTATGTGTAGAAACTTATCCAATTGCACGTGTGACGTGCCATTGTTGCGATCGTAACTGCGCAGGTGACAACATGCCCAGCATGTAAGGGTTCCGGAGAGATTTCGACGCCATGTTTAACGTGCTCAGGCGATGGACGAGTAAGAAAAAGCAAACGCATAAGCTTGAAGGTACCCGCTGGCGTTGATTCAGGGAGCAGGCTCCGAGTTCGATCTGAAGGAAATGCCGGTCGCAAGGGTGGTTCTCCTGGTGACCTGTACGTCTTCATCAATGTAAAGTCTGACCTCGAGTTGAAGAGGGATGGTTACAATATTTATGTCTCAGCCAAGGTTTCGTATATAGATGCAATATTAGGAACAACTGTGAAAGTGCCAACTGTAGATGGATTTGTAGACTTAAAAATTCCTGCTGGTACGCAACCTGGAAGCACGTTAGTTATGTCTAAAAGGGGCGTTCCATTGTTGGGTAAGCCTAATTTGCGAGGTGATGAGCTAGTTAAGGTTGTAGTCGAGATTCCCAAAAAGTTGAGTTCGGAGGAGAGAAAGCTTGTCGAGGAGCTTGCAGAAGTGTCGAAGCCAAAAGCTGGTAGCTCTAGGTGATTTCTAGCTGGAACATTCGAGATAGATTAATTAGACTGTAATACAAAGATATTTTGTAGTCTCAGAATTGAGGTTAGTCGCGAAAATTACAGGAATTTGTTTGCATTGCAGGAAGACCTATGCGCTGCAGCTGGGTCTGCCTATCTCTCCAATTAAGATAGAGTATTCAATTCTTTGTTTCCACGATTCAAGCCTTCTTTCAATTCCTCTTACACTCTAGGCTGGTGATCTTTTCTGTATCCTTTTCAATCTTTTTCATTTCAGACTACTTTTATTAAATAGCCTCATTCTAGGAACCAATCTGATAGTTGAAAGTAAATTTGGTGAACACTTGTGTTTTGGGTGTAATGTCCATTAACTCGAGAGCAATCACAAGTTCTCAGTATTTCGTCTATTAGAGAGGTTATGAATACTTCGAAAGGCGCCTTGCTGAACTGCTTCAACCTGGTCAACAAACATGAAAATGTTTGTAAACTTGTCACAAACGACCCCTTTTCTCCCTGCCATTCTTCTCAGTTTAGATACCAATTTGAATAACAAGGGTCGAAAGGCTCCCCTAGATCTTGTTGGATGAACATACTGCAGCCTCTGTTTCTATAGGGTTAAGAAGACCTAAACCTAATCTTGGGCTTAAGCTTACATGAATTAAGGCTGTAAAAACTATATATAAATAATATAAGTTGTGAGACTACAATGATATTATTGGTAATCTCTATATGTATTGGATCACTTCTTCATGGTATCAAAGCAAGACTTTGTATTGAGTTGTTTCACCATTTCTTTCTCTATTCATTTTGTTCTTTTTCTTTATTTGTATAATTGTAGATTCTTCAAACTTCTCACTCTTCCTACATTCTCTCTACTATAGTCTTTCAAAATATTTGCAAACATTGTTCATAAGAACTAATCAAATAATACTAGCTTAAAATGACATGTACACTAGACAACATAGTGGAAGAGAAAAACCTCTTAAATGGCTACAATTATAAAGAATGGTGATCCTTCATGTGCAGTTGATTCTAGAGAGATGTCTTACACGATGCATGTACACCATCCACACATAAGACAACTTCATCACTTAGAGACAAAGGAATAGTTGATTCAATTGATCCAATCTTCACAACAATTGAATTAGACTTGTGGCGCAAAAGAAGCCCCAAAGCAATAGTCTATCTGCATTTATTTGTTACTTGCAAGATATTGTCCTGCATCAAAGACATAAAAGATTCCAAATTTATATGGATACATCTACATGAAGTATTTTAAACAAACACTATCTCAAATACAATGGTTGTACTAAACAAATAGAAGCCATTAGAATACATAAAAATCATGATGTGTCATCTTTTAATTTGTCAATTTATAGCATTATTACAAAGCTAATATAAAATTTTGAATTTTAGGATGATTAAAATTTATATTGGAAAAAATTAAATCTACAACACAACTTTTTGTTACAAATAAAAATAATAATTTAATAATTTAATAATCTTTTAAATTATTGTGTACAAAAAATTTAATATATATATGCTTAATAAAACTATTTCTATTAAAGTTTAACATTATTATATTTTTTCTTTTGTTATTTTTTTTTAAAATAATTTTTTTTGGAAAAAAAAGTTATTATCTTATAATTATAAAGAATTTTTAATATTATTCCATAAAACACTTATTATTTGAATCACAAAATATATTTCTCCTTAACTAAAATATTTATTCAAATAGTAAAATTTAAATCTACAATATTATTTAGATTTTAATTTTTATAAGAAAAATTAATAATATATCTATATATATATGTATGTTACTAAAATAAATAAAGATAAATATAATTAAATAAAAATTTATTAGGTAAATAAAATCTTTCTTACAAAACTTTAAAGAATTTTTGTAGATGCAAACTAGAACTATAGATTTCTATAGATATGCCATACAACATTAGAAACTTGTATAAGAGGTTTTTTACTTGTTCAAAGCCATGTTGAAAGCAAACTACAAATTTGATGCTTTAACTACAACCCTTATGATTGTTAAGAAGCTTCCACAAGACCTTCTTGATAGCTTGTATATATAGAAGTAAGAATGAGGCCATTTTATATAAAGTTGTAAAATTTTAAAATATAAAATTATTATAATCATAATGAAATTAATTTTATAGTATATTATTAAAAGCTAAATAAATATTTTTTTAAAAAATATATTATTTTTTAAAATTTTAGATATCTTAAAAATAATTTTAAAAACTAAAAAATACATGAAAATATGCTATTAAATATTAAGGTACAAAAATTATTTCAAAATGAACTAAGATATAAAACCATATTCTTATTCTTAAAAAATTCTAATATCCATAATAAAAAATTCTAATTTCTAAATTAAAAAAATATATTAAAATTGAATAGGATAGAAATAAATATTTATAGTTATCTTAAATACTATATAGATAGTAGATGAGAAGGTGTCATAGACATATCAATATTAGTAAAGATAAGACAAGTTAAATAGAAATAAATAAATATATGTAAACTTGATAATACCTTGTAGAAAAGCTTTTTAGAAGCTTCATAGATATGAATTTGACTTTCTACGTGTTTGTAAGTGATTGATAAGTTATAACTTATATTCCAAACGCTGGTATTTTGCCTTCCAAGCTAGATACATGTTGAATGACCTATACAATGTTGTTACATAGCATTTTATTTGGATAATATATATAGAGATAAGAGTGAGGCTTTCCTCACTTTTATCAATATCTTTCTTATGTTCTTGTTTTAGCTCATAAATCTTTAGTTTATTTTTATTTATCAAAGACATGAATCTTAAAGAACTGAAAGATCAAAACACTCTTATGTCACTCAAAAATGATATAATATTAAATTAGAATGACTATTACCAAAGACAAGAAGACTAGAAAGTCTTAATATAAGATTTAGGACTAAAAAAGCATTGATAAGAGTGAAAAAGGCTTCACTCTTGCCTCCATGTATACCATCTAATTAAAATCTATGTGGAAATGTTCTATGGGACCTCCAACACATGTTGACTTTGCAAGATATGTATCGTAACTTGCAAGGCAAGTTTTCTATATGTAAGCCACATAGTTAGCTTATTCCACAAGCTACCAATACATGTGATATGTGATTTACTTATTGACTATATTTTTAATCTATCAATCAACTTAAAACATGTATAAAGTCAAAATTACATCTATGAAGCTTCTAAGAAGCTTTTCTAGAAGATATTATGATTATTTTTATTTTTATTTTTATTTTTTTTTACATAATTATATAGGTAATTATTATAGTAAATACATATGTCCATGATATTAATATTTCTTTTAGGGACGAGTTCTATAAGGAGCGATCATTATCTTTTATGAATCTTGATATTCTTCATCTTGATTTAAACGAATGTTATTGATGAAAAGTTTCAACTTTCTTTATTACATTTGCATGATTCTTGGTAGCTCTTAAATGTATTCACTAATATCATATCCGCACCAATAAACAGGATATTCCAACCTATTTTGGCACTGCTTTAAATCTAAGTCTTCGTCCACTTTTAATTTTTGATTATTATACACTTCTATAGGAGGAAGTAGCATTTTTCTTCTTTTCAAGATATTTATTGTTTTATATGGCTCAAGAAGAGACATGTGGAATACAAGATGGATCTTCATAGACTTTAATAGATATAATTGATAAATAATATGATTGGTTTTTTCACAAATAAGAAATGGTCCAAGCTTACAATAGTCAAACTTATAATAAGGATGATTAATTAGGATCAAAGTGATAAGAGTTAGAAAATTAGAATAGCAACTTTGTTAATTTTAATAATTTAGAAGTTGTTAGTGACTACTATGAAGGTTGACTAAAAGCCTATGAATTCACCTATAATCATTTCAAATGATTTAAACCGAGTTAGAATTATAATTTTCTAAAAGTTTTAGTAAAGTTTAGAAATAACAATTTTGAAATTTCCTCCAATTCAATAAATTCAAGTAATATAGTAATTTTTCTAAGTAATGGAAGTCTTTTTTATGCAAAAGTGGTACCAGATTCACCTTAAAAAGTGAAGAAAACAAGATCAATATCCTCTCCTTCAAAATATAAATAGAGCAATGAATTCTCATTTTGAAGGATTTTACAAGAATTGCCAAGATCCTTGTAAGTAAAAACTTTCATAAAAATTACAATTGAGTATGAATTGAGGCATGTGAATAGTCGATTTTAGCATAAAAAGGTATTTTGAATACAATGGTGAAGTTAGATTCTCCAAAAGGTGCTTTCTTGACTACTTATAAGAGCTATCAGCCTTAGTAACGAAATTGGCTCTTCGATGAATGAAGGCCATAGATCTACATTAGAAATCTGGAAGATCAAGGGTGGAGATGTGGCCACCCTTCTACAACCCACTACTCAATTTTATAAGAGTGGTTTGGTTCTCCAAGCCCTCTCTCTCTCCTCTTTTGGTAAATGGCAAAGTCATACCAAATTTTGGTCCTAAATCCTAATCTTAATTTTATTTTTGATTTTAAATCTCATTGTCAATTTGTGATTGTATATGTATAGATCTTGAGTAGTGAATGATGGTCATTGGATTTTAAGTCATAGGTCATTGTGGTAGATAGCTCCCTTAGCCTCTCAAATATCGTAAGGGTTCAAGAGCCTCAGATCTCCCTCAATTAGTCATTCAATTTTTGAGTTTTAAAGTATTTTTATTTATGATTGTAGCTTTTGGTGTTAGCTTTTCAATAAGATAATGATCGCTTAATTTGGAGTAAGGACAAAATTTTGGTAGAATTTTGAGTGTGTGGGGGTTGTCTACCTTAGTAGTTTAGATCTCTCATCTTTAGAAAGGCATTTCTTAGTGCTTTCTTATTGGAATATTGTGAAGTTTTGAGAATAAGTGTATCTTTAAGCTCAGCTTCTAATGGAATAAATTTATCTGATTTTAAAGACAAATTCAATTTTTAGTCAATTTTCAAGTGGAGAGAGGTTGCATGCCAAGATAGTCTTAGTTACTCAACTTTGAAGGAGCATTTTCCACAGCTTAAATATTGGATTAAATTTAAATTTATTGGAACACAAGCACCTTTAAGTTAAATTTTCAAAAAATCAAAAATAATTTAATTTGGAATTAATTCCAAATTATGGAAAATTATGGAGTAGAAAAGGGTTACT